GGGCCAACTTGCACCTGTGGCTCTCGCACCTGGAAAAAAGAGAACCCGCGACCAGATCCTGGCCGAAATGAAGGCTGCGAGAGAGGCTGCCAAGGCTCAGCAAGAGGCTGCCTTGAACAGCAAGTTTAAGAAGATTGGTGCTAAGCAACAGGCCGGAAGCCGCATCGAACGGGATAGTAAAGGCCGTGAAGTCTTGATTATTATAGACGAAGATGGTCACGAGAAGAGGAAGGTCCGCAAGTTGCAGCCAGGAGCCGAAGAGGAGATGCGCAAAGAGTTTATCCCGGACAAGGATGCGAAGCCGTTGGGGATGGAGGTGCCCGAATTTTACCAAAAGCAACAGCAAGAAGTGGAAGAAGACGACAACGACGACATCTTTGCCGATGCAGGAGACGATTATGACCCGCTAGCTGGCATGGATGACAGCTCTGACGAGGATAGCGAGGGCGAGGTCAAGGACGAAAAGAAGACCAACAACGAGAGCAGTGCCGACACAATGGCGATGCCGCCACCGCCGCGGCCAGCACAAGCGCGCAATTACTTCAAGGACTCCAAGACAGACCTTATATTTTCGCAGACTCTACAAGGACCTTCCATGTCTGACCCGGCGATACAGGCTGCTTTCAAGAGGGCCGCACAGCTCAAGGCGGCGAACAAAGATCCGGAGGGAGAAGCAGAAGACGACGACGAGGAAGCCAAGGCTCGTCGGGAGCGCCACAAGAGGATGCTGCAGAGCGTCGACCGAGATGCCGAAGATATGGACATGGGCTTCGGCACCAGCAGGTTCGAAGACGAGGCAGACTTTGACGATGCGCCGGTGAAGCTCTCAGAATGGGGCAACGAGGGAGATGATGATGACGGTCAAGGCGGCAAGAGCAAGAGGAAGAGAGGCCCTAAGAAGAGGAAGGGCGACGCGAACAACGCCGCTGATGTGCTGAGAGTAATGGAGCAGCGAAAGGCAGCGGGCAAATAAGTCAACCGTGATTGTTTTTGAACGGCTCGTCCCGGAGCTGTTGCTTGCAGTCTGCCGGTTATATTTGAAGCATCCTGCACAAGCGTATACAGCCATGGTTTGTACAAAACTCGAAATGATACCCTTCACGCGCCCAAACTTAAGGCGTCTATCACATGAATTGTCAGGTCTTCCCGTTCGACATGTGAGCAGTTTCCTTGCCTACACCAAGATTTCGAATCTTTAGCTGGTGCAATGCTACGATATGAAGGCACATTTCTCACTGCGAGGTATCCTCGAGTCGTCTGAGCTCAAATACACAGCATGATGTCGAATCAGTCAAGATTCATGGTGACTCAGCTAGGCTCTAGCTTCCCAGAATTCCAGCGACCCGGCAAGCACGGGAAGTTGTTTCTCGGGAGTGGATGCGTTTGTGTGTCTGCTGGACCTTCCGAAACGGGCGCAGGTCGAATTGCAGCGGCGCTCGGAGGGCACCGCCTCACTTATCAAAGATCGCCCGACTCCGCCCACGGTGCTTGCCTGCCTGCCCGCCGCCCCAAGTGTAATTTCGTCCTGTGAAGTGAGCCTGTGAGGTAAGAAAAGCTCGGTGGACTCTATTTTGCGCAGGATTCATCCAAGAACCATGGAACCGCAAAGCTTCCCTTGTCTCATGACTCCTGACCACTGAGGTTTACCTAGATGAGGAAACCGAAACAGAGCAGACATCATAGTCCTGTTGGGATTGGCCAAACGTTGTGGGAATTGTTCAGAGTTCAAGTCATTACCTAAAATTGACCTCCTGTTTCCTCTCAACTCGTCACCAACAATTCCGCAGTCCGCAAACCCGCTGTAGACCGGCCGGCTCCCCCGCCCCCATCCTTGAAGCCCCAGAATACCTTACCTTTACGGAGTACGCTACGCAGTGTTCTACTCCATTCCACCACCCCGTGCTCGTTTGGTTTGGTCTTATCCACCGAAAGTGGGCACCAGACACGGGCTTGTAAACTAAAAGCGCAACCCCACGGCACCGGCGACAACGTCCATGGTCTGCTCACCTTGCCGAGGGAACACCAAAAACTCACGTATCCGTACAGAGTATCATTTTCATCATAATTTTGTGCGGTTTCACTGCCTCTCGTGATAAGCCACAAACTACACACATACCTGTTATCCTCAACAGCCATTTACCCTGCGCCATCATGGTTGACCTCGATTTGCCCGAAACACCGGTGCCGGTCTGGCTGGATTGTGACCCCGGCCATGATGTGAGTTGTTGTCTGTCCAAAGCTTCGTGATGTGTCACTCATCCACTCCTTGTGATGCTGCGCTGGCGTACTCAGATGTTGATGACAAGTCATACACACTGCGACATACCATCACTGAACACAGTCAAGCGAGTACTAATTAGTTTCACAGGACACCTTTGCCATCCTCCTAGCAGCCTACCACCCAACAATAAAGCTGCTAGGCCTCTCAACTGTCTTCGGAAACGCCCCTCTTGAGTGAGTAAACATCAAACCCCATACTGCATCTCTTACACATCTCACGATCACTCAATCACAATACTAACCAAAACCCCCCAGAAAAACCACAAACAACGCCACCTCAATCCTCACAGCAATCGGCAAACACAATGACATCCCCGTCCACGTCGGCGCCGCAAAGCCAATGTCCCGCCCGCCCATGCAAGCCGCCACCGACATCCACGGCGAATCCGGCCTAGACGGCACCGACCTCCTCCCCCAGCCCTCCAAAGACGCAGACCGCTGCGTCCCCGCCATCGACGCCATGGCCGCCGCCCTCTCCGCCCAGCCCGCCGGAACAGCCTGGCTCGTCGCCACGGGCTCCCTCACCAACGTCGCCGAGCTCTTCGCAAAGTACCCGGACCTCGTCGCGCACCTCAAGGGCCTGAGCATCATGGGCGGCGCCATCGGCGACGGCTTCACCGACATCGTACTCGGTGTCGTGGACGGCGTGCCCCGCGTGGGTAACTGGACGCCGTGGGCCGAGTTCAACATCATCATTGACCCCGAAGCCGCCGCTGCCGTGTTTCATAACAAGGCGCTCGCGGCCAAGACGACGCTTGTGCCGTTGGATCTGTCGCATCAGGTTCTTGCTACCGAGGAGGTGCGGGATGCGCTTCTGTACGGCACGCACGGCGGGGAGAAAACGGGTAAGGGGAAGACGACACTGAGGCAGATGTTGGTTGAGCTGCTCATGTTCTTCGCCAAGACGTATAGGTATGTTGTATACACACAAATTTCACTTATACTCCTCCCCTCCCTCCCACTGCCTCATCACGACTATCGCAGGTGATACTAACACAGATGATAAAAGCGACGTCTTCGGCATCACAGCCGGACCCCCCCTCCACGATCCCCTCGCCGTGGCCGCCGTGCTCACAGGCACGCGGCATGAGATCCCCTTTCACGACTACGACGCCAAAAAGGGCAACTGCGTAAAGTACCACGAGCGTTTCGAGCTCACCGTCATCACGGAGGGCGATTTGGAAGAGGCCAAGACGGGCAAGTCGCAGCTGGGGCGGACCGTCGCGAAAGCCCTGCCGCCGGGCAGCGAGGGCGTGAGGATACCGCGCGGGCTGGACATCCCCATGTTCTGGAGGGTGATTGAGGAGTGTACGGAGAGGGCGGATAAGGTGAATGCGGGAGAGGTTGTTGGGTTGAAGGAGAATGGGACGTTGGAGAAGTAAAGAGGTAATGAGAAAATCGGTGTGTTGTTGATCCTGGTTGGTGGGATGAATATACATATTTTGGCATCAATAGACGTGAGTATTCATACACTCAGCCACCGCCCATGGTCTATAGGTCGGTAATTTGCTTCCTCAGCCACCATCGAATGAGGAGATCTCTTTGGCCTAATAGTTGGGACTGCCCACTCCCGACCTCAACCCAGAGGAAATTGACCCTGGTGGCTTCTTCTTTTTGAAGGTCTTGAGTTCGAGTCCCCTTATAGACTCATGTTTTTAGTCGAGGCCAACCAGGGAGTGTGATGGTAGAATACATGGGGTGATTGACCATGGCCTTGGGGCAGCACGCTATTCCAGCACATGAGATTGATTCGTCAACATATGATTCTTAAAATTCATAGAGCCGCCGACTCTCTGAACTACTGGCTAGTCGACCAGTTCGGCCTTTTCGTAAGTAAGAGCAAAAACGAAGAGAATCTCGCATCTGCTATATTTGGGATATGAATCTAGAGACCCTCTTTTGAGACTACATCCCATTTCAAGCGTCAAGATGTCTTGAGTAACCCGCCGACGTTGCTTACCCGTTTACTTCCGGACATTTGTGGCGACTCAATAGCAGGAGAACCTTGCGCAATCACAGTGTATGTATCAACAGGCCCTTCATAGTGCAGCCGTCTTCTGCTCGGTATTTAAGGCAGTCAATACCTCGGTATGTTAGCATATCGACCACACCCATCAGTCTTTTGTCCTTCTGCGGTGGCACACAATGGCTCCCAGGTATCCTCTTCTTAAGGCAAAGAGATGGGGTTCGTTGACCTTGACCAGTCTCACCTCACCAACTTACTAACCCTCATAACCCCCACGTCTCTTTCCGTTTCCCGTCGGAGACTGGAGGGTATTCCGATACAACGCAATGGGGAACGGCAACCAGTGGTGTCATGCCGCTTCGAACTATACGAAGATGGACAATTTCGTGGATGGGGGCTCGTCTAGCAAGAAATACAGCCCTACGAGGACGCTGAGCCACCATCGCTTTCACCACCAACTTTGATCAAAGAATGGACACCATCAAGCAGCTGATCTCTCGCTCGGAACTCCATTAGAGTTTAGGGACCTGTGCATAGGCCTCCAAGACCTCCATCGCAGCCAGCAATGCCAGCATTGCCAGCAGTTTTCCTCATCTCATTGTGATTGTCGTGTTTAAATCCCCCGCCTATAGGTAGCAAAGCAAAGGTTCCAGGCCGTTGAGGATTCCTGCAAGATCTAGGTGTTAGTCCCGTAGCCAGGTGTGTGTACTCGTCACAGAAATGAATGACAGCCATCTCTGGCGGCCGAAGTTGTCTCCTGACGCACCAAATGTGCCTTTGTGTATTACGTCTTATCTATATGTGAAGGATGCCTCTATAACCTTCAGATTGTTGTACAAGGGAACTCTCTATCCCATTCCCGTTCTCTAAAAAGGGGTATCATGTTTTTTTTTTAGCCCACGCGCAACTTTTGGTGTATCCTTTACTCTCTTCCTCGTCCATCTAGAGTGGCTCAAAACCGCTGGTCATCAGAGCCATCAAGTCTCTGCAACACTCTCAAAACCCTCTCATACGTCCACACCGTGATCGCGCTCCCCGGCGCAGCCTTGATAAGACTCACCATGAGACCCCGATACAGCCCGCGAACACCCTCTTTCGCGAAAATGATGCGCATGGCGCGCACCGCACCAGGGTACTCGGGAATGTTCTTATGCACGTACCGCGCCCTCGTCGGCCCCTGGACCTGAATGCGCTTCCGCACCAGGTCGAGCGGGAAGACGGCCGTCTTGGACAGCACGCTGGCCACGACGCCGGCCGTGGCGTCGCCGCCGCCCCACGGCAGGTGCAGATCGCCCAGCGGCAGCCGCAGGCCCTCGTACAATGCAAAGAAGATGCCCATGTACGGGACGATCTGCGCCACGCCGGGTCCGAGGCCGCGGAAGAAGCCGCGCGGGCCCTCGTCCCGATAAATATCCGCCACCGCGCGCCGGAGGCTCGTGTACACCCGGTCGTTGCCCTGCGCCGCGAATCGGGTTCGTAGGAGGTCGAGGGGGTATGTGGCTGTCGTGGCGGCCGCGCCGGCAGCGGCTCCGGCGATGAAGGACTCGGCGGCGTTCGGTAGGCGGTTGTCAAAGGCGGTCTTGAGAAACTGCGCCGTGGTGCGGTACGTTGTGAACTGGACGGCCGAGTAGCACACGTACATCATCTCGGCGGGGACGTTTCCCTTCCATAGGCCAGTGATGCCCTCGTTGGCGATGATGTGCCTCATGGTATTCAGGGTGCCCTTGTACACGGGCCCGCCCCTGGCTGATCGGATCGACAGAGGGTCGGAGAGCGAGTGCGTCTGCAGCTGCAGGCGGATCTTGACGACATCGAGGGGGGCAATGACAAAGCTATCGCGACAAAAGGCGGCAATGGTCAGCGTGAACCACTAAGCCTCAACCGTTAGGTTTTGTCTTACCGAGCAAACAAGCCGGCGGTGGCGCCGGCCGTTACAACCTGCAGACGGGAGCCCTGGGCGCGAACAGTGTGTCAGCATCGTGACGTGACTTGAGGTCGTTGACAGGTCGGAGAGACCGTCACATCAGGCGTGGAAAAGTCTAGGTCTAGCCTTACCTCATCCTTGAGGCGTTCGCCGCTGGGCGACATGCATCCGGTAGTGTCCTCGTGGGACCTGGCGCAGAAACTCTAAGATGCAGTGGGAATGGATGACAGAGAGAGAGGAGCCAAGCGGACAGACGGCTGCTCGCTTGCCTCTGACTTTCGGTGATGAACGTGTGGGCTTCGGGCCCGGGTGTGCGAGGTTTATCAAGGTCAGATGGTTGGTGTCGTCTGTGGGTGTCTGTCCAAGCGGCGTGATCCGAGATGACACGGCGAGGTGTCCGTCGTGATTCGTTTGTCTGCGTGGCGATGACGGGAAGCTAAAACAGCAGGAATTGAGGCTTCCGCAATGAGGCTGAGGGGTCTCAATTGAAGGTGAGCGTGTTTGAAGCTTGTTGATTTTCTTCCGGGATTGCAAGGAAACTGAACAAATCTTCTGACGTCTGTTCGCTAGATGTCGCTGTTATTCTGGAATTTCCGTTGATATTGGTCGCGTGTGGAATTTTTTGTTGTTTGTACGTAAGATTAGTAGCTCTGAGCACTAGTGTAAGTTAAGGTCCGGGCAGGTAAGTTTGCTTGGCCTTATCGCGCGCAAACACCCCCCAGCTTCCTTACCTTGCCTGAATGGAACCGACCCCGAATTCTGTGCTGGGAGACCCCAAGCAGTGTGACGCAATCTCGACGATAGCGGGCTGTCAAGGACGGGACCTTCTCGATTCTCCCACTTGGCCACTGCAGCTCGGGGGATGTTTACTGCGGCCTGGCTCCACTGTGGGCGTGACTGCAAGCTGCGGGCTGCAGCAGGGGCATCTTCCTCGCATTGAGTCTTTGTGAGATGGATAAAAAGCCACCAAAAACAGATTAGCCAGCCGTGCCAGCATAGCCACGCAGGGTCTGGTCCCCTTCACCCGTGCGGGAGGAAACATAGCGGGCGAGATTCTTAGAGAGCGAGCGGCGATGGAAGACCACGGACAGATGCAACATGCAAATGCAAGTTCAATTTCAACATGACATACCTACGATCGGAAGAAAAAAAAAAGTGAAGAAGAAAAGAAGAGATGAGAGGGGGGCTTGGCTATCTCACGGGACTCGCTGCGAGATATGCCTGCGGGAGAAGGAATGTGGTGACATATCTCGAGTTCTCAGACTCTCTGTCTTGTGACGATGGTAGGTGGACCCTCGTGACCTACATTGATAACACTTTGATGATTGTAGAGGACACGATAAGGTAGAGCAGAAGAAGAGACTACAAGTAGAGCGCCTCAATCAGGGGCCTGTGCTGCACGGGTCACTATTGTAGGTACGCCTCAGTGATGGTGATGACAGAGGCAAACGAGGAAGAAGTCTAGAAGAGACACGGCAATGTGGTCACTGACTGAGTGAATGCCATGTGGGAAAGCAGTCCTGACAAATGTCTTTGTCTCGTCAATGCTCGGCAACTCCTGTTACGAGGCGCCGGGAAAGCCGCGAGAATTGAGAATTAAGGTACCGATACCGGGTATTTTTCCAGCACGTACGGATATTTTGGGAGCAGGAAGAAACAGAGACAGGGCCGGCAATGAAAGACGGAACACAGCGTAAGAGAAAAAAACAACCGTGAGACTAGCAGCCCCAAACAAGCCACGCCGAAATGAGACGAGACGTGGATGAGAAGGGCAAGGACACACGGAAGTTGGAGCCGGAAATCCCATTGTCTGCAAATTGGCACCTTTGGTACCATGAGCAATGAAGAGTCTTGACACGTGCAAGAGACCTCAGCAGCGTGTCATTGGTCAGCTCGCCTTTTGTCAAGGACACCTGGGCAAGTAGCCAGTGGAGGAAAGTTCGGAGAGAGGTACTGCGCAGGGAAGTAGTCATGTCGCATTGGGTCGACCGTCAGTGGTCAACTTCCCTCCGTCCGAAACGACTGCCCTGGGCGGAGTCGCAGCTGCCTTTGACCTGCTTCAATGTGCCTCCGCATTGGCCAGAACCGCCTGCCTTGGCGACTTGCCCGCCCTTGCCTCCCCTCAACTGTGGGGTCAGCCCCCCGACCGAACTCACTACCTCACGCAGTCAAGGCAGTATCCGTCACCCGGGAAGGTCGACACCAGCCTTTTCCAGGTGGATCTGGACCTGTTGGCCCTTGACTTCCTTGGGATCTGGGACGGGAGAGGGGGGGCAGCCACGGAGCCATCGAGCGTGGGGCCGCCGACTCTGCGTAACTCGACGGAGACCATACCTTACCTTAGACTTTGTCGTCTCGCCCTCGCCTCTCACACCTGCTTCTCATAATAGTCGCGACTTTTCCTCCTCTTCTTTTCTGCGATCCCCTCTCTCTACTGTGTATTAACTCATACCTCACATCTTACACCACTTACTTACCACTCTGCCCAGACCCAACTACAAAGGCAGAGATTTCCAAGTCAGGCTGAACTGAACACCAGGACACCCAGTAGCGCTGCCGCATGTGATACCTACTGTCACGAGTGCCGCCGCCAACACATACACACAACCAACCACCACAGTCGCTCAGACTGAACCAGTGGCATCTCGCCTCCTCAAATATCTTACATCTCCCGCCCGGCAAGGAGTGGCCGCGAGGGAGCGATATCTCTGCAAAGCATACCCTTACCTGTATCACAACCACAATCATGACTTCAACCACCACACCAATGCCCAACATCGGCGGCCTGTTGGCTCCATTACTGCCTGCTCTCGTGCCAGCAAGCATCTCCAAACAGCCCGCCATCGGCGTCTTGCCTCTTCTCAGCCCTATTCTGAGGCAAAGAGTCCAACTTCTTTCAGAGGCCAGCACTGAGCCATGGCTCCGTCTCCTCGCATATGACACCGACAAGGCGGCGCGCCTGGCAGAGATTGTTCAGAGCGGCAGGCTAGAACCTCATCCCGTATCTGGCGAGGTTGAGGTAGACTGGGAATATGACGCGAAGACGAGGTACAGGCGGCTCGATCTCGAGACCCTGCAGGCCTTTGTTGCTCTCGAAGAGCTCGAGTTGACCTTCCAACTAATCTACTGCGTCGGCGACAAGGACGGCGGCGGCGACGGCTGGAGGATCGGCGAGGTTAGCGTCACCGACAAGGCGGCACCCTTTGGAACTTTTGGCGGCTATTCGACCATCGCTGAGGCCGAAAAGGCCTATGCAGACGAAAAGTCAAAGGCGACGACGACGTCAAAGGCAGCAGCCAGCTCAGCGTACAACGACGCTGCCGAGGCGGATGACGACGAGGACGATGGCTACTGGGACAGATATGATGCAACTCCCGCCCGCACGCCAGCTAACGAGTCCCCCGCCGCCGTCAAGCGTTCCCCCGCGCCGCACGTACCACAGGCGTCGCAGCTGGGCCAGTTCCGAACCGACTCGGCAGAGGATGCGTACTATGCGCAATATGATTCAGTGCAACCGGCAATGGACGCTCACGATCCCGACGAAGAGGTTGAGGGTTTCGAAACGGCCCCTCCTCTGGGACTTGGCGCTGTCGTAGGCCAGCATAACTCGGATCAGGGTCTGAACGAGACAAACGGCTCCTGGACGCTGGCTGAACCCCCGCGGTCGCCCTCAATTCACAGCCAGATTGACGAGGACAGGGCTGCTGTACTCCTTCACCCGCGCCCGGCTTCGAGCGCTAGCAGCAACGGCAGCCGCTTGGTCGAGAAGCTCGAGGAGAGCGTGGGCAAGCAGGACCAGAACGAGTTCGGCGTGAAGCAGCACGTGTCGAGGAGCATTCGCAGTCTCTTCCTGCTGGCTCGTTCGTCTGGTATCGACAGGGAAGAGTTTGAGCGTTTGGTGAAGACGGAGCTGGATGTCCTTGGCATGATTGAAGACGACGAGGTTTGAAGTTTCGAGGCTGGCGGACTTTTCTTGTATATGACGTTTCTCCTCCTCGGTGGTGCTCCGTGGGGATTTCCGCGGTATCAGGCTGTCATTCGGCATAGGATTGGGTTGGGCTGCATGTAACGGGGCGTTTATCCATGGTCATATCTTTGAATACTGAGGTTTAAACAAATATCTCGTAAAAAAATGGTATCAAGTGAAAAGAAGTCCAAGTTATAGCGGAGAAAGCAGCTGCTACCGGGAAACGTGGTAGCATATAGGAAGGAAACGCTCAACAATTCCCGTAGTCTGATGAGCGAACCCCGGCGCTGATGGTAGTTGAGTACAAGTCGGGGAAGAAGATGTTGTCCAACAAAGTGCCAACGTTAGGCTTGCTGACCGAATGAAAACTTGAGGAAGACGGAGCGTGATAAGGAACAAGAATGGGCGCCTCCGAGTTGATCGTAAAGACATAGGTCCATAAGTTGAAGAGTAGGTAAGAGTAGTCGCATCAAGGTAGTCGTCTATTTGGCCGGTCCCAACGCTTGTGAACCTTCCAGCATGCCTCGGTCTGAGATAGGGAAGAGGGAGGGGAGCGGGGGGGTTCGAAATGAACCGACGGCTGTCCAACCGCATCGCCCCTACTAGGTATAGGGAGTCTCGATCGTCTGATCTCTGACATTCCTCGCGACGAACGAATGGGGGAGACTCCGGTGTAGGCTGTATCTAATTACGGCATCCACGTTCATGATGCACTGTTGATGAAGATTTTCGACATGGATTCCTCTTGTTGCTGGGAGCATATCAGGTGATTTGCTGGTTCTGGATCTCGGCCCATGGGGACACTCGCCAGTGGAGTGATAAGTGTTGTCCGATGACGCTTGATGAGAGAAGATGCGTGTAGGTTTACAGCGCCCCCTTCACGCAGAACTCGGAAGGGGGATCATACTGTGTAAGCGCCCAGTCAGTCTTTGGGGGTGGTGTGTGTAAGACGAGCGGGCGCGCGGGCGGTCATGTAGCCGCCGTGGGCCGGAACCGGGTTTATGCCGTAGGCACTGAGATTGGCGGTTATGTTGGTGTGCCTTTTCAGACGTTGGTCGTGAGAATGATAGACTACGATTGTGGAAGGATTGGCGGGATGACGAGTGGCAAGGTTGATTGAAGATTGGGTTTGTAGTTGATGGTGCATTCACGGCTTGGAACCGAACCATCCGGGAGGAGCCTGACCAGTGGCCGGTCGCTGATTCTCCCAATCCATCCAGTCACAATAAAATCCAACACAGGATTGTCTTTCTTCTCGAATTCTTCAGAAAATGCAGCTCCTGAGTCGTCATGCCGTGCAAGTTAGAAGTTGCATCTTGTAAGTCGAAGCCATCACCAAATGCTTCCCCGGCCCGTAGACCCACCCCGAAATGACCCCACAAAAGGTCGGAACGTATTCGCGCCTCAATCATAAGGCCACAACCGAGCGCGCCAATTGGACACGCGGGAACAGCCGTCCCAAAAAAAGTTCACCATCGTCGAAGCTCCCGGCCTACAGCTTTCCCTTTCGTCGGCGACACGGTTCAACCTCCCTACCACGCCCCCCCTCCAAACGACCGTCCTCCCCCCAGATCCACCAGTGATTGAGGAAATCCGGCATACACATACAACAAACAATGTTCTCACGATTAAGGTTACCGCGCATCGGCGCGGGCATCGCCGCCGCCGCCAGAGCCGCGCCGGCCAGACCTCTCCAGCAGCGCTCGATACACTACGTCCCCCAGCTCTCCCACGACTTCAAGGACGGCGTCCCGGGCCTGCTGTCGGCCGACGGCTACGACATGGCGTGGAACCAGTACATGACGCTTGTCCTTGACAAGCTCAATGCCTTGATTGCAGGTCAGTCTACGCTGATCCCCTTCTCCTGACTTGGCGATCCTAGCTCCCGTCGCATGACAATCTCGACCCGTTGGCCCTATATACGATATGATACAAAGAATAACATGGCCAATGCTAACTAACACCCAACACAGGCACCGACCTCGAACAGCGCGACGTCAAGCAGATCCTCCTCGCCTCAGCCCAGGACCCCTCCCAGGCCCCCGTCTTCAACAACGCCTCCATGGCGCACAACACCCACTTCTTCTTCAAGAACATCACCCCGAACCCGAAACCCATGCCCGAGTCCCTCGCCGCCGAGCTCTCCCACTCCTTCTCCTCCATCGACACCCTCCGCCGCGAGATGATCCTCACCGCCTCCTCCATGTTCGGCCCGGGCTTCGTCTGGCTCGTGAAAGCGGGCCACCAAGACTACCGCATCCTCACCACCTACCTCGCGGGCTCCCCCTACCCGGGCGCCCACTGGCGCCTCCAGAGCACCGACATGAACACCGTCGGCCTGGGCGGCTCCGCCAACAAGTACTTCCAGCGCAGCGCCGCCGCCCAGAGACCGGGAACGAAGCCGCCCGGCGCGCTCGACGCCGTGCCGCTCCTGTGCCTCAACACGTGGGAGCACACGTGGATCCGCGACTACGGGCTCGGCGTCGGCGGCCGCGGCGGCAAGAAGGCGTTTGCTGAGGCGTGGTGGGAGGTGATTGACTGGGAGGCCGTCAACCTCGCGGCGGACATTCCTTCCCGGCCACAGTTCATGCGGTAAACGAAGAGACGAGGGCTGGGGAGAAAATGATCGCCGGACTTGTGCGAGCTGTGAGGGCTGGTGAAGTAAGGCCTGGTTGAGTTGGCAAACGATTGCTACGCGAGTAACCAGTTGCACACGGCAGAGCCTGAAACCTAACCTGGCGAAGGAGAATTGGGGCGAAAGGGGGACAAGTGGGGAGAGACCCGTCCATCACCATGGGAGATCTTCCCCCTATAGTCCTGCAAGATCTTGTGTGGATAGTAGTCGAGGGCGGGCTGGCGGATTACATGTAGGAATTATTAAAAAAGGCAAGACGACACTGTAAGAATAGAAAACCGCTGCACATATATAGAAGATGGGTGTTGCAGAGTAACATGTACTATTCCTGTACTACTTTGAAGACTTCTCCCCCCTCCCCCCTTCTCTACCTCCCCGCGCATTCAAGATCGTGCCATCACTTTGAGTCGAATAAGATGTCAGGACGTACGGATCGAGTATGGCTCTCGGCGAAACCACTTGGTCAACCCCTAGGCCCTCTCCGATATACGTCCCGCTTGATTCACTTAAGTCCCAGTAAAAGAAGAGGAGGAGACCTAGGACACTTTCCGGCGAGTTCCCTCGACAGAAACCTTTTCCAGGTAAACGCGCCTCGTTGACTGTGCCTGGCTGGAGGTGATGCAAAAGAAAAAAAAGCTTCGCCCTGTTAGCATCTCGGAACCGAATCCAAGGGGGCAAGGAGTACATGTACCCTCCCGCGTCTACGCATTGCATTGATACCCGTGAGCAAAAGCAGCGAAAGCAAAGCCGCAATACTCATTCTCTATGCAGAGACTTCCCAAGGAACTTCCAAAGGATCGTAACCAAGTCTACCCGGTTGGAAACCAAAAAAGGCTAAAAAAAGACAAAAAAGGCAAAGGCAAAGGCAAAGGCAAAGGCAAAGGCAACACGAGCTTTTACCAGCACTGCCGAAGTTTCAGCTCAATCCACAGAACGACCTTTTTATTGCCATTGCCTTTGGATCTTTGCTTCAAGTAAGAAACAAAAAGAAAAAAAGTTTTAATAGAGAAAATTCTGTGTAGCCTATCGAATCTTGTAAATTGGTAAAGACATTTGGTCGTCTCGATTCAAACCTTCTTGCTCTGTTTCCCCTGACTGCATTCCGCGCCAGGCCAAGACTCTCTCTTGAGCAAAGACTCAAGTTCAATCTCCGATACATCACATCACAAGAGAAGAATTCACAGCTTCAACAGTCACGAGAAGAAAGAGCACGTGATATTCATTTTTCATAACCGAGATCCCGGAGCGTCGCCCACAAAAGCGGCTCGGCTCCTGTTCAGGTCCCCCCTATTTTTCATTTTGCAACTAAACTCTCTCAACTAGCTATAACAAAAAAGTAAACTTAGGTATCATGGTAACCCCTCCCAGTAGTAAGTAATATGTTTTTTTAAAAAAAAAGGCAAAGGAGTGTCTTTTCGTTCCATTTCATTTCGTTTCCGTTCCGTACGTGTTGTTTTCTTTTTTGGTATTTTGTTTTTCTTTTCGGCGTTCATCAGAGAAATAAGAGATAGTGAGAGATAGAATAATTATGTTCAGTAAGGAACCTCAACAGAGTTGTCCAAATCAAAATCCCCGGGTTTCCTATCCTTTCCCTCCCCCCCTGTTGTAATAAATAGAGGAAAAAAAGAGGAGTCATATACCCGGCGTCAGGTAGAGGGGGGAGGGAGAATCTGATTTCAAGGATGTAACAAATGCCGCTATCCAGATGACTTATGCAAGAGAAAAGGTGGAAAGGAAAAAAAGAGACGAGGGAGATGGTTCAAGCTTCTCGGAGTGCCCGAGAAGCTCGACCTCTCAAAGAAGAAATGCAAAAAAATGGCAAAAGAGTGTACCAATGACGACCTTTCATAAGAGAAATAAAGTCCCCGAGGCAAATGTTGCTCGCTTGCTGGCTTGCTTTGCTTGAAGTGAAGATGAAAAGCAGAGAAAAACAGACGTTAAACACGAAACGCAAGTCATTATCGGATATTCGGTGCTTTTTCTTGGCTTTTGAGAAGGATCGTGTCGACAGGGAGGTCTAGATCATGTTGCCGTTGACACTGACCTCGAAACCATCACCCTTCTGCTTCAGCGCCTTGGCGAGCATCAACTCCCGCATCCAATCGATACGGTCATCGCGGCTCTTGACGGCAAAATGATGCGTCTTGCCCGTGCCGTTGGCGCCCTCGGCGGGGATCGACCCGGAGCTCGAAGAGTGCCCGTGCCCGAAGCCGTGCAACGCACTCCCGCGCTTCCGCAACTTGGCGCCCGCGGACTCCTTGTCCTTGTCCTGCGGGATGAGCTGGAAGCTAAACGCCGCAACGGGGTCGCTCTTCTCGCGGCTGTGCGACGACGAGGAGCTGAAGTGGACGGCCTTGAAGGCGGCGGAGAGCTTGCTCTGTGACGCGAGGCTGGAGCACGCGATGGCGTAGTCGTCGACGTCGACGTACTCGAGCGTGCGGTCGACCGTCTTTGCGTCCTTGTGGACGGCGAGACGAGTGCCCTTGAGGGTGCAAAAGGTGTCGTTCCACTCGTGGCGGAGCATCTTTGTCTTGCGCTTCTTCATGGGGCCCTGGAAGGTCACGCCATCCTGCTGAGCGGCGGAGGCGGCTTGCTTGACGGGGAGGGAGGGCGCGAGGTGGGTGATGGGCGGGATAGCTTGCTCAAAGGGGGTTGTGCGCTCGATGGGCGACCAAGGGTAGTTCACACGGGGAGGGGCTTGGAGAGGCTGGTGTTGCTGGAGAGGTTGAGGGCGGACGGATGTGCGTGGGGAGGTGTGTCTGGGTGATGTGCGGGCGATGGGGGTCGCGGTGTTTTCGTTCAAGGCGGGAAGGACGGGGAACGAGGGGCGGCGGGCAGAGGAGCGGGATTGGGTGCGGGAAAGGGGCGGCTGCTGCTGCTTGGAGACGCCGGGACGGTAGTTCATCTCAGGGGGAACGGACTGGGAGACGTCGCGGGCGATGCGGTCCATGGGCACGGCGGTGACGGGAACATCCATCTCGGAGAAGGGAGTGCCGAAGCGGTAGGGGTTGTTGATGGGGCTCTGCAGGTCCGGCGACATGGCCTCGGCCCGGTCCATGTGGTAGGGGACGAAGCCTTGCGGCTGCTGCTGCTGGTATGGGGGCGTCGGGAGCGGCTCCGGGTGGGCTGACGGAGGAGGGACAGTCGAGGCGCGGAGAGGGCTGGCGCGAGGAGCCTGCTTACCCGGGATGGAGAGCTTCGGGAGGTGACGGAGGCGTTCAGGCTGGGCCTTCATGGCAGGGAAGCCCATCTCGAAGGGGGGTGTCGGCGGCACTGTGGTATCCTCGTGCTTCTGGAAGTCGAGGAACTGGCGCACATTATCCTGGGGGTCCCTCGAGATTACGTTGCGGAGGGCAGCCTCTTGCAGATACTGCAGAGGCGTGGCGTTGCCGGGGCCCAGCACGTCGGAGGAAGCCACCACGGACGGGACGGCGTCCGAGACAGGCCTGAGGATCTGCGTAGGGTCGAGGGCCCTGGCAGTGTGTGGGTTGCCTGGGTTTCCGGTGATGACGACCTGTTCCGTGTCGAGGTCGACAAAGGGGTGCTCCTTCTTGAAGGCCTCGATGAGGCGCTGCTGCTTCCTCCACTTTGAGCAGTTCTCACCCTTGGGGCACTGGTGCGGCTTGGGGACGACCTGCTCAATGCCAACGATGGACACAGATTCCATGGGCGTGATGATATCGTCGTGCGACGGCTTCTTGGGCCGCCTCCTGCTGCTCTTGCTCCTCTTCATCCCGCAGTCGTCCGTCTGCTGCCTTTCCGCCGCCCGGACCTCGCGGGTCTCCTTTTTGACTTCGCGGCTCGGCTCGTCTTGGATCGGCGTCGGGGCGCGTGGCGAGCTGGGTCTGCTGTCGCGCAAGACCTGAATCTGGTTCCAAACGCGCGTCCTCATGCCGAATGACGGAATGTCCAACTCCTTGAGATCCTCAAACTTCAACGTAATTAGGATGGGCCCGTTGATATCGTTCTCCACGAAGCGGCCGGCGACCGAGAGCTCAATGCCAGCATTGAGCATCGACTGCGCAACCATCTCTGGCGTCCATGAGACGAGCTCTCTCGACTCAAACTCTTCGTACGTGAACTGAAAGGGACCGCTCTGGTGTCTGGACGGGGGCATCGGCGGCTGCTGCGGTCTGATGTGTCGGAATGGCTCATCGAAAGGTCGCGCCGTCTTGGGTGTCACTGGGGACAGCGTCAGGATGGCCTCGTCAAAGTAGCTGGCAGTGGAAGCACGGAACAAGTGCGGGCCGGAAGGACCCTCAATGTTCTTGTTTGGTGACTCCATCATCTCTGTCGCATACATCATCCGCCCTTGACTCGATCTTGGCGTCTGCACCTCATCGTAGGATGACAGTGTTGTGATACTTGGCTGGCCGCCAGACTTTTTTGCGCCCACACACGTTAGCTATAGCTCTCTCTTGGAGATGAGGCCACTGCCGTTTCCAACAAAATCACTTACAGAGTTGACACTGATCCGGGGAGAGTTGTCTTCAAACTCGCTGAGCACGTCGTCATCCCATTCCATGTCCATGAATTCGGTCGCCACCGACGTTGGCCTTTGCGGCTCGGCCTTGATGCCAAAGAATGTGTCGCGCATGGGCGCCTTTTCGCGCATCTCATGGCGCAGGCGACGCTCGCCTCTTTCATATTCTTGTGTGTAGTTCTAGCGGCGCAAAGTCAGCCTCAAAAGCCACACACCGCGTCGCAAAACCCTCCCATTTTGACTGTCATTCCTCAACTCACCATTTTGTGTGCATGTGTGTAAGTGGTTATTCCCAGATACGGAAAGTGGGGTGGAGGAATGTTCAAGAGGGCGTGGACTGGCTATATCTGACTTGCAGTTTACAGCGCAGGACAGCCTCCTCCGTGGCAGTTTTGGTACCCTTCTGTTTTTGCTTTTTCCCGTACAGCTGGGAATCGAGGGGGGAAAGCCGTTGCCGGCAGCACTCTGCTCTATGAAGCCTGTAGATACTTGGGGATAGCGGCACGCAGTGCAAGCTATGGGGAGGTTGAATACGCCTCGGGGCTAGGAAACAAGACCAGCGAAAAGGAGATGCCTAAAGGAAAAAGAGATATGAGGTCCAGCAGAGCCGAATATGCTCGTTTGGTATGTAACGGGTCGCAAAAGAGAAGAAGGAGGGGATCCGGTACAAGGCGGGCGCCTACCGCGAGTTATGTATGTCTAGTGTGTCCATGCACGGCGGAGCAGTGTAGGGATGTGTGACTAGGGGGGGTGGTTGACCGTTGAGGAGGAGGAGGAGGAGGTGGTGGAAGCATGGTGGTTGAGAGAGAGTCGGATCACAGCACATACGCAGCAGCAGCAGCAGCAGAAGCAGAAGCACGCACAGGTATCCCATCACCCACCCATGGCATGCCCTCGTTCCCCAATATGCATGCTGGCTCTGGTGTGATTCGACCTGTGGCACTTGCACACGGCGCCGATGGTGGCACTCTGAACAGACCAGTCGAGTGTATAATAATAGCCCAGGTAGTGGTGGGCAGGTCAGGTATCTAGGTTCTGTGTGCTGGGTTCTGGGTTGGAGAGCCGACAGAGGTAGATAGAAGAAGTGCGCTTGCGTGTACCTACGTGCGTGTGTGTGTGGCCGAGCGGGCAAAGGCCCAGCCCATGAGCCGACCATTCATTGAACCCTGAACAACGGCGGTGGTCCTAGGCGACAATACCGGCGTCGATAGTTGTTGGGTCAAGATGTGAGAGGAGACAGAGAGTGAGCAAAAGAGAGAGAACGCTTCGAAGGCTGGTGGTTCCCCGGCCAAAGGGGGTGTGTAGCCGGACAGCCATCCATGTGGATAGAGGTGCACAACCGGCAGCAAGCACTTTGCACTTGCAGCAAAGCACCACGCAGGACGCGGCATGTACTCCGTTCGTTCCCCCCATCCCAACACAGGCAACTGGCCAGGCACAGGGCAGCACAGCAGCAGCAGTGGGCGGAAGCTGTGCTCGTACAGGTGGAAAAGGGAGGTCAAGGTCGAACTGGCGTGGGGAAGCGTAGTAGTCAGTACTCAGCAATGGACCTGCCTCTGCTCTGTGAGGATGTGTGAATGGAAGGGGGGTGGTTCGAACTTCGAACAGAGAGAGGAGAGAGAGAGAAAGGTTGAAGCGAGGAACGGGAAAGAGGGTCTAGGACGGCGCAAAGGTCGGGAAAAGTGTAAACCTGATTGGCCGGGGACGGGAAAAGAAGCTCGTGCATAGCGCCCAGCCGACGGACCTGGACTTTGGGCAAGAGCAAGAGGTAGGCGCTGGAGCTTCCCATTGGCCATAAATCCAGAGAAACAAGATGTCGTGGGACGTTATTTTAGGGAACGCTAACACGCCATTGGTTGAAAAATCGGGATACCGTCAAGTTATCTACGGGAATAGGTACGTACATACATCCTTGCCCCCGGCTTGCCGCTACGGCGGCGGTTAAGCGCCCGTCTTTCTCAATCTGGCGGCCACTCGCTGTTCGCTTGTCGTCTGAATAAGTGGGGCATGTCGACGACCACCCCCCGGTCGCCGGCCGTCAACGGCGTGAAGCACAAAAAAAAAAAAAGGGCAAGGCAGGAGACAGAAGGGAAAGAGGGGAATGGGGGTGTGTGGCACACATCCGCCGGGATGAGACCTTGCCATCCTCTTTCTCTCTTTCTGTCTCTCTGCTGTATCCGAACGGATACGTCTCTCACCTCACCTCACCTTACCTTCAATGCTTTTCCTTTGCACACCTTTTTTTGGGCAGTCATCCACAACTCCACAACACCCGATTGCGCATCCTCGCTCAACCCTCGTTCAGTCCACCGCCCGCAACATGGGCTCTTGCCTCTTGGTACATACATACACTCCATACGTCCTCGAACTCGACTCTTCTGGCCCATGGCCCCCACACCATTCGAGCTAAAATTCCCATCATGCCCTGTCCATCACCTGCACTGACAAGGACCAGGGGCAAGGACGAGCAGCTTCCCCGGCACACACACCTCTCTCTCCCCGTCCATCTCTCTTCTCTTTCCCTAATGACCTCGCACCACACAAGCTTGAAGCCGCATGCCATAGCAAAAAAAGCAAAGAAAAAAGCTGCACTGCACTGCGCTGCACTGCACACTGCACGCTTTCCTCAACCCGCCCGCCCGTCCGCTCGTGGTTCGCTAGTGCCCAGCTTACATACCATTACCGATACAACCAGCATACAGCTCTACCTTAGCTATCCATGCCATAGTTCCCATGCCTGCTTGGCACCCTCTTCTCGCCTTTCGCGGCCTTTGCAGAGAACCCCCAAAATGCGCCGCCCACCGCCTGCTGTTCGCGGACTTGTATCACTATCACCGCCCACGGCCCACCACCCATCACTTATCGGACCTTAGCTGTCATCACATTCCAATCTTATCAAGTCTCTTTTTTTCCCCAGAATCAAGCCCAGCACCACACAGGCGTATTCTTAGCTATGTCTTTGACATTTCGCACCTTTAGTCTGGGCAAGGCATGTGGATCAAGACAAGACGAGACAAGCCATGTGAGCGCCCTGCCCAATCCCGCAATGGCCGTCCTCTCAACGGCCACCCGAATCCTTCTGGCTGGGAAACTTTCCCAAGGAATGCAATCGCCCGTACAAGTCCTGCATCGTGCGGCTTTTCTTGCCCAGCTGTTCGTTTTCCCGTATGGCGGGGACGAGCAAATCAGTGCTACACCGTGACCGGCCACCTTACTAGACCGTCCGTCAACCATACGCAGGAGAGAGAGGCCCAAAAAGAAAAGAAAGGGGAGACTTACAGCCACATCTACACCCCCTCTCCCCATTTCTGCCTCCTTCATGTTGCACCCTCGGCTACCTACAGCCCACCGCACACCTCCGATCCCGACGAGTCTCGACTCTCAAATGTCCACGGTCAAGGGCCACGACCCCACCCTCACGATCAACTGACTTCCCCTCACTGGTCTTCTCAGCCACTCAGTATGCCCATCGGGCCTCCATCGGAGAAATCCCCATCAAACCGAGACTACCATTCCGTCCGGGGGTTTTCGACGAGGCCAATGGCCTTGCGAGAAGCCTCTTTTGCGAAAGGTCCCAATATGAGGCGAGATTTCGTCTTCCTCTTGAAATTGGTCCTCTTGGGTGACTGGACTGACATGGGACGGTTCGGATTTCAATGGGTCCTGTCACGCCCAAAGATGACCTTTCTTCGCTCAGTTGGCCCGTTGCGCTCCTCATCCTCCACCTTGCGTGTCACCGTCGGCGCAGTCCGTGGATCGCTTATCATTAGTTTCGCCTTGCCCTCAGCTCGCAAATCATGCGCGCCTCTGGGCACATACTTACCGCCCAATCGCTCAGTGTCGATAGCGGACAACGTGACCAGGCAAAAGCTGTAGCTGTGGCACATGACCTGCGCAACTGGCTCACCGTTGCTGCCAGGCAAATTTGATAGAGGCAAAGAAATCTCTCAACAGTCGATGAATCCCCAGTCACATATCCACGTATGACTTCATACTCACAAGCCCTGCAGATGGCGGTCAAAAGTGTGACGAGAGGACATGGTTGATGCAGCAGCAGCAGGTCTCTTGGGCTTTTGCATTCGTATGTATGCACCCGTCGCTAGCTTCCATAGCTTGATGCCGTGGAATGGGAACTCTTGGCCTTGTTTGCTGGATCAGAGTCTCCATCCAGCGAGCCATAACTGTCCCAAGAGGGACCAAGGGGGCTGGCAGAATGTGCTCTTGATAGGTAGACGTCGATGGACGGTCTGGAGATGGTGGTACGACAAGACCTCGGTGGCCAGCTTTCTACCCCGCAGAGCCGTTGAGACAAATATGCGATATATGCCATGTCCAAAATACGGGTGCTGCCACACTCTTGTATGTTGGCGGATTGGGATGCGGTGATATCTGATAGAGCTGCAGTATCGGACCTTGTAGAATTTGGGAAGCTGACACCACCACTCTGGTCTCTCTCTCTCTTTCTCTCTCTCCGGATACAGGATCAGAATCTGCGAATCGGAGTGTCCCAAAAGCACATCTGATTGGGGCGCAGATAATGACATTGGAAAAGTCAAGGCATTGGTGAGTTGCCATTGCTATCATGGTGGCAGCCGATTCCGGTCCCAGAAATTCCAGCCCCTCTCCGGGCCAGCAATCAACCAGTTGCGCAACATCAACTTTTGTGTGTCGGTGTCGGTGAAGCACCACACATCTCCACATGTAAGGAAGCAAGAATGTGCTTCGAGGAACAACAAGAGGCCAGCGCAGAGAATTCCCGCTGACTCATAAGACAGCCTAAAAGTGCTGTGAACTTGTGAGGGTCGACCCCGTCCTTGCGTTAGCAGTGTGACGCTCTGCAGGGAAGCATAAAGCACGCTCCCGCTACTGCATCCCCATCTTCCATGTTCATTCCAGGTGGTGTTCGATGCGTCTCCGAGACATAAAAAAAGCCGTGGCGGTATCTGACGGGACAAGAGTTTGTGAATCATATGCAGTCTTGCCTTCTTCACCGACTCTTCACGTCGTCTGGCATGCCCTTGGATGACCTCATCCGATCATTTCCGCGAGACAGGGAGAACATGTGTTCAGCATGCCTCAGTGTCTCGGCCAGATCAAGAGTCTTTCCTTGCGCTGTTGTCTCAGTCCCTTCAACGGCAATCCATAGAGAGCTTGTCCGACCGGAGCCGGGTCGCACAGAGAAACACCTGGCGGTGATTGAGGTTAAACAGCGACCAGTAAGAGGCCGAAGTGCGAATGGCGGAAGGAAATCCCGGCAATGGAGAATTGACTGTCGATTATTATGCTCCGCGGCCGACTCTACCCGATGGCCATTCGAGATTCAGTGTAAGACCAGGCCGTGTTCCAAGGCAATTGGGCAGGGCGTCCGCATTCAATTTCTGATCCTGGAGGAGGATCATCGAATATGGCCAACCCTAACGTGGGCTACGGGCACAGTGCACCTTGTACACACCCCTCAGCCCGCAATTGAGCCCAGCAGGGGTTGATGGCTGTGGTATAGTGGACGATGGTGTGGTTTGGGGGAGACCATCCTCGAATGAATTGGCGTATTCTCGAGGGTGTTTTCACCTTGTGTGTGTTCGTGAGAAACGACGTTCTCCAGACATGTCTCCAGTGCGCAATTCATGTCCTCCAATGAGTTGGCTGGAACACGTTTTCACGCGCTCTCACATGATGGCGGACTAATGCGAGCCTCGCACTACTGTTGTGGATGGATGACTCTCCCGCTCATGTCAACCAGTGGATTTCGATGCTGGAAAGGGGATTGTGATGATGTTGACAAGTCTCAGAACCGGAACTCGTTGCATTGTGACCGTTTGCAAGACCCTAGAAACCTCTTTGTCAGATCGCATGGCGATGCGGCGCGGATGGCCTGAGCGAGACGGATGCAGGTCATCGTGATTTCGGTCCGTCAACTGGCGCTCCACTAGTGGCATGTCGAAAATGGCTGCCATCTCGTAGTTGACAGGGCGAGGCGAGCCGATACAGAGGGCGTGGGTTATCATCTGCAATGTGCTTGGCATCCATCTGCCACGAGTCGTATCGCAAGCAGTCAGTTTATCCAGACAATGGGAGGCATTGTCCATAAGATGGCTCAAGGTTTCCTTTGTCATTTGTATCCTCAATGCAACATCGAATTCGTAATTCATTGTTGGTTGAAATGCATCCGATGTTGGGGCTGGAAATGCTAAATCTTCAGTGTTATTTGAGTTGTCGATTGTTGAAGAGAAAGGTTGTCAGCTGCATGTCATCCCGTAATGTCTAGACATGCGACGTTGAAAATCATGCAAACTTTCCTATTGTGCCTTGGGGTCTGAAATCTGACCTCACAGGGGCCATGTTCCCTTCCAAATTGCAATGCAGTTTGCGCTGTATTTGTGATTCTGTGCCGCAATACAACACAGTATTTGAGTGAATCGCGGCGTTGGGGGTTGAACCTGGAAGCTTAGATCCACAGATTCAGCGGGAGGGCGGGAGAGCATGGATCTGGTACAGTGCTCCCGTACGGTACGGAGCTCAAAGCTGAGAATGTCGGCCAGGGTGTTCCTGGCCTTGTGAGATTTGCTAGGTAGTCGACCACAATAGTTTGTCTACCGCTTTGAATAATGCCGCGATCTTTCTTAGTTCGCCCGTCTTCTTCTCCATGTTTACGGACGTAATCTTTTCGCCAAAGGCAAACAAAGAGCCTAGAGACAGACTAGAGGCCGTAAGTTCCGACTAGGATCTGTGTCGATGTGCCGCGCGTGGCTGGGGTCCAGAAGCGACGCGATGTTGCGCCGTTCGCGAGCTGTTAGCGGAAGAGCGGGAAGACTGGGATGCCCAGGCGTGGTTTCTGTTCTCCGCAAAATCTAGCGGCCGCATTCCCTGCAATCCGATATCTCGACCCTCAAGGTTCAAAGATGCTGTTCACATCACATCACATTAACCTAGCCACAACAGGACAGTGATTGGGGATGATGGGCACACCTCGACGCCTCAAAGTCCGTCCGCCAATCAACGGCGCGGGGTTTTGCTCGCTGCCATTGACGACTTCAGAAGATGAAAGCTGACATAGGCAGTGGAGGGAAACGATATGTGTGATCTGGAGAAAAGGAGATTGCACCGTGACAGGGGCGTCCTTCTGTCGCCCCTTTCTGGCTGAAAGCAGGTACGAACGAGGCTGTTGGCCTTGCAACCGGAGTCGACGATCGCCTCAACTCAATCGAATGGTTCAATGTCACCATGTCCGCAGTGTAGTATCCGTCGTGTACAAGGGGAAATGAGGGCCCGAGGGTGAGGCACAAAAACAGTGTCTTGGCCACGCCGATCGTTGAATCATGCCATATATGGCTGCGAGAGAATTCGTATTGATGTCGAATAATGTTGTTATACGTGCCGCACGAGCTGACAATGCAAATGGAAGGGTCGGATGTAGATGAGGTTGTGATAGCGAGCACCGATATCAATCAGTTGGGCACTGACAGTCTGACAGAACGGCAACCCGACCCACGAGGCACTGGCGTCTGACCGGATAAACTTGCGTCTTCCGCGGGGCGGACGCTGACGAACGGCGGGCTCTACTGCGGCGAAGGCGGGAAGTAGTGTATCCGTACTGCGGGACGGGCAGATAATTGTTGCGCACTCCGCGAGCCATGGGGCCCCTGAGACTCGAGAGACGCGATGGGCGACGATCGTGGACATTTTGCGATAATTGCGATTGTCGGCGGGCAGAAAGGCAGGCATCATGTTGCGAGGGAAAAGCAATAAGACCCTGGGCTGTTGGCTGATGAACGCGTGCGCAAAAACCTAGTCAAGGTAGGCACGGCACGGATGCTGTGCAGGCCGGGTGCTGCCTTGAGGCTGCGAGCTGTTGGTTCGAGGCGCCGATGCAAGACCGTTCGTTACTGACGGGTAGGTTTGCAGTGTACTCCGTAGACCCCGGATCAATGGCAAGCCAACGCTCCGTCAAGTGCATCCGCGTGAACTAAAGTTGACGGAGTTCGGGTGTAATGGCGGTAGGTAGTGTCGTTGGAGCTGATTAGGTCCTTTGGGCGATGGTGCCAGTTGGGAGGGAAGCTGTCGCCATAATTAGCCCGCATGATCCAAAAGTTGGCAGACTATCGATATGAGGTGATATCGTGACCTGGCGGGTTAAACTCCCGGCTAAGAGGGATAATCCTCTCGGATTGGGGGCAAAATAAAAATAGAAGCAGACGACGGTTGTTAGCTGCGGTGACTGAATTCTGCGGGTGACAGTAAACAGCTGCAGCGGCTAGACGATGTGACGAGCTGGATGACGCATGGAGAGGTGTGCTCAAATTAGCCCACATGTCAGAGTTGCAAAAGGGCAAATAGTGTGACGCAAAGAGGGTTAATTCAGTCACGCATCATGAGCTGGGCGGCTAATTAGGCCGCCAGAAATAGGACCAGATGGGATCATGGATGAGGTTTATTCCGAGGGTGACGGATGGCCAGACGGTCAGATGAACGGTACCTATCCGTACTGCGTAAGCAAGCAATGGAAGGTACAGGGAAGTGAAGATGATCCGAGTATCCCGTCTCGGAAGGTGGTGAGGGTGGTACTCCGGTGCCGTAGGGCAATGTACATAGCCAAGTAGGTAGTCCGTACCTTAGCTCACCAGGCAAGAGCGTCCTGTTGGCGGGAGATCACCATCATCGGCGGACCTTGCCCGACGTGCCTCCTCCAGACAGCAAACTTGCCGTGCGGCGGGCGGCGTGCCTGCCAGATGCATACGGCAAGGAAGGTACCTTATGTTGTCGTTCGGCAGCACTTGTACGGCACGGAAGGAAGCGGAGAGCAGGAATAGGAGGGGAAAGAGATGAAGATGCGTCACTGTGATTGGCTGAAATTAGTTAGGAAAACACAAAAGCCAGATTTTGGCTGGCAGATGGTGGACAAGCATCTGAGGAACGTGCCATGCGTGCCTTCCGCTGCAGCGCCTTGCTTCCCCTGCGAGAGCAAGAGCAAGAGACAAGAGGGGCAGGAAACATGGAGCTAAGGTGCCTTAGCATGCGAACCCCGCGAGAAGGTGCCCTGTCACTTGCCGCGCTCCTGCCGCGTATTGGCCAAAGCTCTGCCCCCACCCGGTGGACTAGCTGGGAGGTCCCTGACCAATATTCCTGCACGATCTTCTCGCTTGCAGCAAACAATAGCCAATCCGGGGCCGTAGCGGACCATTCGCAAGAGCTTAAATCCCTGCGACATCACAAGCGCTAATAAACGGTTGGTCCCGAAGCCCTGCACGAGACGACAAGTCGTCACACCTCGCCGTCGAATCAACGTCTGCGCCAGCCCTCTTGACAAAGGAACCTCGACTGCACCGACAATGACGCTAACGACGTGCTCCGTACCTCTGTCAGGCTGTCCAAGCAAAGAGGTGGCAGGTGCTGAGGACTGGAGAGGGAAAAAGAAACGCAGAGCAAATACCTCAACGGAGTAGTGCCTACCATCGGGAGGATGAGTAGCTAGCCGCAACCTTGTCCTTGTGCCTTTCTGCAGCCGTTATTCGCAACGACTTCGGTGTACAGCAGGCAAGAAGCAAAGAAATCCTTACGGCTCTGGCGGAGCGGAGCACCTTGCACGACATCTCCCGCGGTGCCATGATACCCCCTTGCTTGCTGCACCTGCCACCACTTTCGGCTGTAGTTGGGTATCGATGGCCAAGTACCGGCCTCGACATCTTCCACTCTCCATCAAAACCCACTCGCTCTTCTTTGGAGATGGATACTCGCCTCACTCGCCTATCCTCCCCACGATCCGAGGTATTTTCACTCTCTTGATTATCTACGGATGATCCAATTACACCAAGCACAAACCCACCTGCTGACAGGCTACAGGATACAGCAAAGCACCCCTGAACTTCTCGCCATGCACGACAGAAAGTCCCAGTTCCACCGTATCAACTCCGGCAGCCACATTTGACCGACATTGAGTGGCCATATGGACCATCCAATCCGGGAGCTGACCGCCTTTCTCGGCCTTCTCATTTGTGGATGCTCTTTAGAAGACCCTGTCTTAGTCGGTCGAGTCCAAGTCTTGAAGAAGAACACGAGGCAAGATGAGGTCCAACATCGCTCTCGCCAGAGTTGGGAACCTGTTGCCAAAGTAGCAAACCCTACGGGACCTATTTCGACGGGGCTTGAACTTTCGCCCAGCATGGGTCTTTGGGGGAACCAACAGCAATGAAGATCATTCCCAGAAAATGATCAGGCTGATTGCCATATTTGATGCCATTCAACGGGGGCTCCAGCGGTTGACTAGTCATGTCCCGCTCATAGTTATCCATCATGCAACCATGAAGCGAGGCTCCTCACATGGGATGATCGGATGAATCCACCGCGTTTGTCAGACACAGGGCTAACCTCACCAAAAAAGGTTGACAGGGCCCCATACCCATGCAAACCCGTAGGTTCTTGCCCGGCTTTCGCTTCTGGCTCTACGAATACCTACGGTAGTATTTCGATGATGGGTCCCACAAGCTCAGCGAACTGTGTTGGTGGTTGGCAAGCTTCATGCAAGTACGTGCGATCCTAGGACAGAGCTTGTAAGTGGGAGGAATGATCCACGACCAAATATCTTTTGCAAGGGAGAGCCTGGCCAACTACAGCTCTGCTCATTGCTTGGTCATCCGTCGGCCCCCGAAATCCTCTATTCAAATCGTGCCACCGACGGCCTGCTTGGCGGCCGAGGGGGACCATCTATCGATAGTACTTGATGTCGGAGCCGGTGCAACGTATACAAGATAGAGCAAGGCCATACAGATAGTCCATACGGATACTATTCTGTGTTTCTGCAGCTCCGGCTGCGCAACGGACTCCCGCGGGATGAACTCGCATCCGGGCGAACTGCTACTCGCAGCATCAAGTTTCCCCTTCCAGTCGATATTGAAGATCAGCATCTGCACCGGTCAGGGCCCGGGACGACAGAGTGGACGCGGTATCGACGGCGGACAGCCGGAGAGGCATATGGCCGGATGGGGCACAACTCGATAGCAGGTTGGCAAGTCGGGTTGGGCAAACAAGAGGTGGGCCCCATGTGGTTCTGCATGTCTCTGCGTAGCGTGGTGACCAGGTGGTCGAAGGTGTGCTTGGCACCTTGGTCCCCATGGCCTGCCATCCAGAGCCAGCCATGGCAAGCCACGATATGCATGCGTTGCCCGTTCACTCGCTCGACAGCTGCTCGCACCCATGTCGTCCATCTCGAAGCTGCCCCCCCTCTCGACGCGGAAGTGTCCATTCCTATTCTATTCTCGGGTGGGGTCCAACAGTGAGTGCGACCGCCTTTGGCGGCCCATTCTCATTGGAGCCTGTAAGCGCAGGTCAAAGTCTCACGCACTCGACGTGAAGGCGGCCAGCCGGCCTGCCTTGTGCCCTAGCCTACGTTAGTCTGGAATGCAGAGCAGACACACACACACACTCACTCACGGCTCGGGGGGACGATGGAGACACACATACATAGGTGTATCCAAATTTAGAACAATATTGATGTTGGCTACGTAGTGAACACCAGGCAGACCACTCAAAGGCCCGTTGGTTGGCGCAACAAGAGGACGGTCATGATGAAGGCGGCCACAATATAAGACTTTGGACCATCCATCACGAACAGTTGGATTCTGGCCTCCTCTCGTTGTTGATCTGTAGAAGTCAAGCAGAAGAAGAAGGAAAAGTGATCCAAGTGTTTGTTCAAGGTTTTTTCTCTCTCATTCATACAATTGTTTTTTGATACCCTCCGTCCACAATCTTCGGAAAACCCCAACCACTCGAATACCACCCGATAATCCAGTTCAAGGCAAGCCGGACTTGCTAAACGACCAGTCACTCATTCGACACCACCGAAACGAAAAAAATCCACAGTCGATCACTCTCGACATATTTGCAATTTTACAACTTGCAGCGCGCCCATTGCTTACAGTTCACGAAACGAGATCGGATTTGCTGTTGCATTTTGAACGACAAGGAAGAAAGAAATAATTCAATAATCTGATACGATTTGGAACCTTGGGTTTCTGGAAACTCGACAAACCATTCGACAAACAACCCGGTCTCCCATCTCAAATTGCGTTGACAGCGGGCGAGCGAACAGACGTTTCCTGACCACCGAGTCCCCCTCGTCGAGTTCTCCCCCCTCTCCAATATCGATCCCAGGTTGTCCCCGCCTTTTTTTCACTCTTGGCTACCAGGAAAGAAAGAGAAGCGAGAGAGCACAGAGGAACGAAGACTGCCTCACCCAGCACGCACACACAAATCAGAAGAAAAAGAGGAGAAGACCACAACGCGCGCACTCGCACTCTCACACCCTCCAGGACCCCTGGTCGTTCTTTCCCCGGTCCAGAGCACAGTGTCGTTCGCTTCCGTCTCTACACAGTGTAACGGTTCCTGCCACGCCCCTCCACTTGTCGACCCTGGTCCCTGATCACCCCCGGTCCACCACACATTCACACACCCTTCACCACACCCCTCCCTCCCTCCTCTCTCTCTCTCTCTCCTCCGCCCCAGTCAGCCAGCTCTAGCTCTGTCTTCGCTGCTCGGCTTGTCATTCACACGCAGGTACCTCCATCGCGAACAGAAGAAGGGTACAAATGGCATCTCTACCCCCCAACCACATTCGAGAGGACTTCATGAGATCAACAGCTGCAGTCAACATGGCCGTCGCATCTTCTGCGAAGGCCAAGTCGGCCTGCAAAGCCAACAACACCACCAACAACAACAATGCCAGCTCCAAGGCAAAGTCACAAATGCACCGCCGTTCAAGGACAGGTACGTTCATCCCAAGAATCCCCTTCTTTTCCCCAAATCCCATCCCATTTAGCATCGTATCAGCCATGCTTGACTTACACCCACATCCGAATCCCACTTACACGGGAGCCACTCTCCCTTACTCACCTCAAATTGTGTCTTCCACGATGGTCAAACCTCATCTGAACACTTGAGACTGATTGAATTCTCTACAGGATGCTACACCTGCAGACTGCGCCGCAAGAAGTGCGACGAGGGCTCGCCAATGTGCTCCGCTTGCAAACATCTTGGTTTGACATGCGAATACAAGCGCCCAATGTGGTGGAGCAACAACGATGCCCGCCGCAAGCACAAGGACGACATCAAGATGATTATCAAGCGCAAGAAGCTCTCAGAGAAGGCGTCGCACACGATCCAGACTTCCGTCGGCTCTCCTCCCGGCCTGTCGCACTCTCTGCCCACCTCTGCCACCTTTTCCGACCCTCTGGACCGCACTCGCTCCGCCTCCATCGACTCGCACTTCTCCCAGGCTTTCAACTTCAACAGCCCGCCAACTGTCGGTGCCGATTATGCTGCCTACAACCCCCAGATGCACCCCGACTTCATGTTCAGTGGCTTCCCCTCGCCTTACGAGATTGATGTCAAGACTGAGCGCCAGGTCTACATGAACGATGTGCCCACTCTGAGGGAGTCGACCATTTCCACTTTCAGCACCTACCACACTCCCCCGCCCCCGGGAACCATCCTGCCTTCCTCCGTACCCCTCGACGGCGAGTGGACCGAGCAGATCTACTCTGAGCGCAAGGAGTCCCTTAGTGAGGAGGCCCTCAACGTCAACTTCTTCGACTTCTCTCATGGCCCGGCCATGTCCAACCGCCAGGTCGCAGTCGAGCTTGACGAGAACGATCAGCGCCTGCTGGACCACTTTATCCAATTCGTCCTGCCCACCATCTTCCCCATTCTCGACTCCAACCAACATGGCTCCGTCGGCTCCGATCTGATCCTGCCGGCTCTGCAGAGCAACAAGGGTTACCTGCACTGCTGCCTTAGCATCGCCGCCCAGCACTACAAGGCGACCATGAACGTTCCCGGAGAGGAGATTGACCAGGACATCATGCGCCATCGGTACGCCACCATCTCGTCTCTTTGCGACGCTTTGAACAAGGACGAGAACCACCAGGAGATTCTCGAGGCCGCTTTGGGTCTCATCTTCTTCCAGTGTGTCGTCGGTCGCTTCGACGACGCACTGCCCGACATCCCCTGGCACCAGCACTTCCAAGCTGCCATCAGCTTGGTCCAGAAGCTTGACCTCCCCCGCCTGGTTTCGGATCCCAATGATCAGATGACCCAAACTCCCTTCAACATGACTTTGACCTCCTGGATTGACATTCTCGGCGCCACCATGCAGGGACAAGCTCCTACCTTTGCCCACACCTACCGCGAGAAGCACCTGTCAAACAACCCTAGCCTGGGTCTTCGCGAGCTCATGGGATGCGATGACCGTGTCATGTACCTCATTTCTGAGATCGCCTGCCTCGAGGCTCTCAAGGGAAGCGGCATGGACGACATTACTCTTTGCCAGCACGTCCACGCTCTTGGCGACCAGATCAACCTCACCGAGATTGGCGAGCCTGGTCCCAAGATGCCTTACAATAACAATGGAAGCCTTTCCCCTAAGCAGCTTTCCAAGAACATGACAGCCGCGTTCCGCCTTGCCGCTCGCATCTACCTTTGCAGCTTGGTACCCGGCTTCAACCCCGCGCAGGCTTCCTGTGTCGGCTTGGTTGAGAAGCTCGCCAACGTTCTCCAGCTCATCCCCTCGGGACCTGGAGGCTTTGACCGCAGTCTCGTCTGGGTCTACCTCGTTGGCGGCTCTGTCAGCTTGCCTGGCAGCTCTTTCCGCGCCCTCTTTGAGGACCGCGTTGCCCAGCTTGGCGATGTCTCTGACTGCGGCTCCTTCGGCCGCGTCGCCTCGCTCCTCAACGAAGTCTGGATGCAGACAGGCAACATCAAGAGCAGTGACAGCTGCGCCGGCAGCCCTGGTTCCACGCAAGGAGCTGAGGCGGTAGCATACATCCACTGGAGGGATGTCATGCAGATGAAGGGCTGGGACTTCTTGCTCATCTAGCATCCTGGCTGGTTCCGGGTTGTATAGATGTGTGCAGAAGGCTCGCCTTTCATCTGCATGGTATGTATACCGCCTCCGCAAAGGTGATTCAGGCAATCGATTATTCCCTTTCGCGCAACCAGGGCTGCTTGGCAGCCTGTCTTGCACTGCTGGACACTTTAGAATCTTCTCTTCTGATCTTCCCCATTTTGATACCACATTTTTCTACATTTACACCAACCTAATCAAAGGTTGCTTTGGGTTTATTAGAAGGACACGCCGCAAGGCACACGGAGCGGACATGAACGATGAGAGCGAAGACACTTGGATCACACTTTTTTACCTTTTCTTCTGACTGGACACTTTCACGGGTGAGGGTGCACGGGGCAGCTGGGCCTGGCTGCCAGGATGATGGATGATGACGAAGGATGATGGGAAAGGGACCACCTGGATGAGGCCCTGGAACATGCAATGGAAACATGAGATGCGACGAACGACTATTCTTCATTTATTCAGACGGAACAAACTTTCGTCTGATAACTTGGTTTTTCTTTCCTCTCTTGGGTATACCATAGCATGAGCACGGGAAACGGGCTTCATCGGAGTTTATGTTTGGGACTTTGGGACTAGCATTTCGGTGCATCTGGACTGGATCGGATGGATCAAAGAGAAGGGCTCTGGGAGCTGCGATGGGCTAGCTTCCCAGTTGACTTCTTCACATGGTACTCATTCGGTAGCCTTTCGGCTCCCTATGGAGCAGTTGGCAGAATCGAGCAGGATCATAGGAATCATGTAATACCAAAACATTATACCCAACAATTTCAAAAGCGCTACTTTCGAATCATGCCTTTTCTCCCCTTTACTGGGCTTTGAAAACTCTGAAGAATTCCCTCACGGGTGGTGCCCACCGGCCGAGTCCGAGATTTGTCTAGGCCGGTCTATGCCAGGGTGGGGGGTCGAATCTTGGAAGAGTACACAGTATTACAGTAAGGTAAGGTCCAAAGGTGTGAAAGTTCTCCGGCTTACTGCGTGCTTGCACGGGTGTGGCGATCACCACCACCTTCCCCCCTTGGAAGCACTTGGGCCGAAGCTTACGCGCAAATGGGACGATGGAGGGGAGGGTGCGTAAGACGGGAGTGACGGACGAGAGGAATTGGTTACTGGACGAATTTGAACATGAGAGAGAAGGAGAAAGAGAACAGCGATGGGGAAGGTTTCCCTTTGGGAACTCGGGAGTAGAGGAGGGGAAAGGTGGGAGGTGAAGATGCAAGCTGCCGATCGAGGGTAGTACAAAGGGCCACTGTAACGTGTGTTTGCTCGAGGTGAGGTACCTAAGGCGCCTTACAGTACAGTGTCTTCTTCTGAAGCCAATTGAAGCATGTCGCGGGAGGATGCGCGATGTTTGGATGCGATGGACATGGGGTGGGTAGGTAATTGGCTCTGTGGGTGGTCATGAGGTAGCGCAGGTTCAAAGAATATTCCCAATGAGGTGGACAGAGAGCTTGTTCATTCTCATAGTGGGCTATATCACTGTTCACACGCACTATAATACACCTTACCTCGCTTGAGGGTACCGACGCGATAGCGCCATCTTTTTTTTTTTCGGTCCTTTCTCTTCTTGTCAATGGAGGTTGTTCTTGCGATGCCGGAGGGGGTTTGGGGACGAGGAAGAGAGGGCGGTAGAGGTACGGCGGGAGGTTTGGAGGGGTAAAGAGGTCGCACGAGCCGGTGGTGCCCTGGGCTTGTGTATCCATGTCCCTTTGAAGTGCTGTGGTGTCGGTGTTGTTGTGGAGGTGAAGAGATGGTTTGCCGGTAAGGTAGCGGTGAAGGTCGGCTTGGCTCGGTGAGCTTTGGCCCGGTGTGCGGCGGGGTGTTTTACCAGGTACCTTAGCTAGGGAGTGCCCTGCGAGGTGTTTGGTTCAAGGTGAGCTCACCTGACGTTCGTCCTCGGTCTGTGTGGCTTGTCTTTTGGCCGGGATCACGAATTGGGCAATCCCGTTTTTTCCCTCCCCACGCCGAGGTAGTTAGTTAGGTTCGGGGTGATCACGAAAGAGGAGGGAGGGAGAGAGGGAGGGGTGAGGTGAGAGAAAGATCCGAGATCGTTGAGTGTGCAATGCTTCATGGATTGGAGGTCCGACGTCAGTGGTGAGCAGGGTCGTTTGTTCAGAGTGCTGACGATATGATGAGTCTTGAAAGAAGGATTGATTGTAGATCACCTATGGGGGCTGGGGCATTGGGAATGTGGACACCGAGTTTTGCTGGTTCTGCAAGAAACCCATCGCTGTGGGATAGAATAGAGTCGAGTCACCTGGGACTCCATGGCATCATTCCTTTGTGTGTATTCATGTTCGCTACCTTACTGTGCAATGGGGGTGGGTGTGCGTTTGTAAAACAGTGCAGTACAGCTGGGGTGGTTTGGGGACCACAGTATCGAGTTAACTGTGGTCTCGAGATTCTATTCATACGGGCTTTGATATCGAGTCTCAATTGTTCGGATTACACACCCCTCTGTCATCCATCCAAGGTATTGACGAAAGGCAGAGAGAGGGAGTTTTTGGGTTTGTGCGGGGACTTACATCTGGGCAAGGAAGGGGGGGAAAAGAGACAGGGAAGAGAGATAGGTCTCAGATGACGGAAAGCGAGATTCACCCAAGCTTAAGCGCCAACCACTTGCATATCCCGAACCCGTACCCGTTCCCCACGATTTCGGGAGACCGTTCACCGCCGTTGTTGAGTCACAGAACACGCTCGAGATACGGAGTACACGCACGCATATTTCGTATATGTGTTGTGAATCACTGTGAATTGGCGAGAACGGAGTGGTTCCCTTGGGGGTTGGTTAATTCTCGGCGCCGATATCGTCTTGGGGGGGAGGGGTGCACAAGACTGGTACCAGTATTCATTAGCGTAGTACGAAAACAGGGAAAATTCAATCAAGTATCCACGTGACGATGGTGTCTGTGGTTTGCGATTTGCTCTTTCTCCCTTGCATGGGGCTTAAAACCTTGAACGCTTGGAAACGTCGTTCCCTCATTCCTCTCTATTCTTCTGTCTTTTCATTTGCCGGGGGCCCTGCAGCGGATGGGACCACGGGATCGGACGTGCGTGGAATTCTTCGAAGAGAGGTTCTGAGCGAATCCTGTATCGTCACGTGGATGGAGGGGCGTGTGTATCCGTACAACAGCGAGGTTGGCGAACGACGTTGGAGTTTTTTTTGGTTCCGCTAGAGGGGCGATGGTGGGAAGAAAAAAAAGGACGAGCATGGGCAGAAACATGGCAATCATGGCAAGGCATTTTTGCTGCTCGTAGATCATTTGATTGGGAGTGGGCGAGGGGGGCATCGGGTCGGGATGGGGACCGCCGTTGCGGTGGATCATCATGGGCTTTTTTGGCGAACCCTGGGAACTTGTGGCCGACACGACTTACACGCTCACCGACGGCGACGGCGAAGGTTGACGGGGGTTCTGACGATGGCATCGTGTATGGACATTGAGAAGATCAAAGTGTTCCCAGATACACACCCCTCCCCCCCCCCCTTGGTGAGCTGAAGCGAGAAGGACAACGACGATGGTGATGCTGCCTGGTGCTGTACGGACAGTGTAGGCCAAGGCCGATTTTGGCCCGTGGACGTGGTGACGGTCCCCGGTTTCCTCCATTGCGAGATGGGAAGCACGGCTCTTGACTGGAGGTTCGTCGTCTGCCGGCTGCCGATCGGTCAAAAGGTGAGGCTTTCGCGAGGCGGTCCTGTGACCCGTCTTCTAAGGGAACGTGAGGGAGCCGATGCATGGCCAGCAGAGCGGTGGGCGTATAAGCCTATGAGGTAGAACCAAGGTACGGGAATAGCGGCTGCGGTGGCTTCGATGGCTTCAGTGGCTGCAGTGGCTGGAACGGATGGCGTACGTCACGTGTGGCTTGGACGGGCCCAGTGGCGGGCCATTGAAGGTTGTCAATGGGGTTTTGAGGCTAAATTCTCTCGGTCAATGTCCATGCCATGTCTTGAACCCTTGTTTTCCTTTAGTGAGGTCAAGGGTTGAGTCTCAATCCCTACGCACCACGAGTCTTCCTTGGTGTTGGTTACCTTAGTTGCTTAGCACCTAAGATACCTTAATACCTTACTGAACAGTGTCATGGATGGGATAAAGCGGCTAAAGGCGGAGGTCCCAAAAGAGTACGAAAGTACCTGGGTCTTTGCTGAAAAGAGAATGGGGCCTTGAAGGGAAAGGACGGACGCTAACAGTGATGGAGCGGCCCAGCGGCCCCGTTCGGCTCCATTTTTCAGCGTCCGCCACCCCGGACGCTCTTGACGCAGGGGCCACCCCTAAAGTCGGGGCCGCAATCGCCAGGAACGAATCATAGGCGCGCGTTTCGGCTGCGCGGCTACATTCTGGCACTTTGGATGACTCTTTTAGGAAATTCTATTCTTTGACTGGGCGACTCGCCAACCGCTCACAACCTCTCATTCTCCTTCAACCCTTCAACCCCTTCCTTCACCATGGACCGTTCAACCACCAAGGGGAATAGAAAGTCCCCACTACCAAAGAGACATACTCCAACGACAGCCTCTCGTTGTCGCCGGCCCAGCGACTACCCAGACCAGCACTGCCTCACGGCGAGACTCTCTGCCGCCCAACGTTGCCATCTATCTGCTGTCGCCGCTACTCATTTGCTAATTATTGATATCCGCCAATGGTTTCCAAGCTTTTTTGGGGGCAGGGGGCCCTGAGGTCTGAATTTTGGCCGCTGTTGCCCTATCATACCCTCTCATGATGGGAAAAGCTCGGGGGCTATTGTCTTCCGCAGCGACATGGTGACACTGGAGACGTTCAGAGTTCGCAACACCATCGCTCCACCACTTTCTTCACGCCCGCTGCGATCCAGTCGCGCTTGCAGAGCCCAAGGTAATCTTTGCAAAGCAGGAGCCCCCTCTCATCAACGCTCGTGAGTCGCCGCGATGCCACTCGGGGGCTACTTGGTTGGCCACCGACCAGCCGGCCTTCTTAGGCGAGGTCGATCGGGTGGCATTGTTTCTTTGGGCACAGGCGAAAGCTCGTTCGTTTCGGAGCCGCGCAGCAAGTTCGTTAGTCGAACCTGAAAGAGTCTTTTACTTTCTTCTTCTTTTCTTACACTCTTTGCTGCGGGAGTCCTCCGCCGAGTGGCAGTCGTAGGGGTCCGAAGAACTGGCCCCCATGCCGCCCTGCCGCGATATCGAGCCAGACCAAAAAAGATTGGGCTTGGATGACTTTTGGCTCAGTATCGGGTGGGAATGACATCGTCATCTCCTTCTTCGGATCATCGCCCGATTCTTCTCTTTGCTCACCTTTTCATTCTCGTCATTTCTTGCATCTTTGTTCCTGAGGTCATCTTTTGCTCGATCAAACCGCTTCTTGGGTTCCTTTTGTGAGGCCTCTTGCCACCTGATGAACAACACAGTAGCTACTCCTTGTCTTATACCCTTTCATCTGTGAATAGCGACAATCCCATTGTACCTGCTTGTCTCTTCCAACTCGAAACTTCTTCAACCCACGACTTACTTCTACGCCTTTGTGTCCCGTTTCTCCTCCCCGCAGGGGTCTCGAGGCCTCGTTACTCTCCTTCCGTGGTCATGAACCCTTGACACAAACCGCCACCTGACTCCCGACTTACACATCTTTTGATACGCGCCTCTGACTCTGCGGTAAGAGCTCAGACTTCACCGCCGGCCCTGCAACCCCATCAAGCAACGTCCCGGCTGAAAGAAGCCCAACTATTGCACCATCATAAACACATCACACACTCCAAACTCGGAACATGTCGAGATTACGAAAATGCACACGAGCCGCGGTGCTCTCCGTCCTCCTCGCCTCCGCTCATGCCGCCTCCATCCCCTCCGTCTTTGGGCGACAAGACAACACATGCGCCGCCGCGGGCTTCACCTCCTGCGGCAACGGCCTCCCGGGAAACTTTTGCTGTGGTACGGGCAAGAAATGCATCACTCTAGCCGGGAACACCACCGTCCTCTGCTGTCCCGAAGGGGAGAGCTGCGACAGAATCTCGCCCATCACATGTAACATCAACCTCCAAGATCCCGTGGCACACCCCGATGCCTCCATCAAGACCACCGTCCTCAACGGCACACTCGCAACCTGCGGCGACAGCTGCTGTCCCTTTGGATACAGCTGCAATAGCCTGTCGCAGTGCACGAAAGACTCGGACCAGACCAAGGCGCCGGAGGAAGCCTCCACCCCGGTTCCAAAGCCGACGTCGACAGCCACCGCCGTCCCGAGCGTGATCCCGACGACCATCGCCGCCAGCACGACGCCCGCGGGTGACAACAATAACAACGACAACGGCGACAGCGAGAACAAGAACGGCACCTTCCCCACCGCCATCGTCATCGGCTCCCTCGTAGGCCTCCTCGTCGGCGTAGGCCTCGGCGTCGCCCTCCTCCTCTTCTGCGCCCGCCGCCGTCGCCGCGGCCCCGCTCCGCTCAGCGAGAAGAAACGCGGCGGCAGCGGTGGCCCTCGCCCGTCGACGTCCACCTCGTCCTTTGGCAACATCATCTCGGAGCCCATCCCCATCACGGACAACGCCACCGTGCGGACGGACTTCATCCTAAAGACCCCGTCCACGACGCACTCCCGCTCGCGAAGCGACTCCGGCTTCGTCACCTCGCCGGCGGGGTTCACCCCCAACAAGGGCCACAACCGCCTCTCCTCGACGGCGACGACGCTGGCGCACCACCCCATCGGTCTCGCGCGCAGCGACTCAGCCCCGCGGACGCCGCCCGCGAGGGGAGCAGGCACCGGAGCCGTCGCTCCCATCAGGGGTATGCGTCCCAACTCCGGGTCGAGGCGCCTCCAGCCGCCCAACGTGCCGAACCCGCTCCAGCCGCCGAAGCCGGGGTACATCAACAACAACAACCAATCCCACCTCCAGCGCGAGCCGAGCAGCGAGAGCATCAGCGTGTTCGCGGACCCGCGGACGGTGGGCGGGCGGCCTGGGGTGAAGAGGAACACGACGTTTACGGATATGATGGAGGAGGCGGAGCTCGGTGACGTGCGGAGGGGGAAGCCGTACGTGCCGTACACGCCGCAGATGCCGTCGCAGCCTGGTCGATGATTTCTTTTTTTGTCTCGAGGGGAGTGAAGGGGGTGGGATGTTGAGTGTGTCTTACTTGATGATATTGAAGTTTTTGTAATGTCGGCAATTTGCTCCTTCGCTTCTTCTTCTTCCCTTGTTTCTCATATTTCTTCTCGTATTCTTTATAGAAACATATCACATGCTGGACATGAAGACGGAGATTTGGGGAAGAGTGTGAGCCTGGTAGACATTCGCTTAGAAGACTTGGGCAGATTGTACCTCGCGGCAGTGGCAAAAGGGGCATTTCATGTTTTTTTCTTTCTTTTGTTATTCTGGTCAGGATTATATACCCACGGTCGCTTTACTTGTATTTCGTTGTTGGTGCAGGTTGAGTTGTATGGGTCGATTAGTTTGAAGCCTAGGTGACGCCCGAGTAGGCAGAGGACGTATAAATACACATCTTGTTTGCACGGATATTCAGGACAAGGGCTCACCCGTGACGAGAACTTCCTTGGGAGATTAGACAATTTGTAGCATGGTTCACGTTGAGTAAGAGGCGTTTAGAAGTTTGCTGTATATGGTTCTGGCGGTGGATGGTGTCGAGAATATAACAAGAGGTCGGCTATGAACACCAGTCAGTATGGGCATTCCATGTCCGACATCTGACATACGAAAGCGAGGTAGAAGCTCTGTGAAATGGCCTGCCATAACGGCCAAGTGCAAGTCTTATAAGATGACCAGGTATTGATTCAATCACACTCACTAAAAGTCCGCACCATACCTTCCTTCCTCGACAAGAACAACAAACTACGATCAAAACACCACCGCCAACACCAAAGATACACATCTCAAAACACATCCCCAACCTTATTTGAAGCCCACCAAAACCAAAATAATCAGTAGAAAAAAAGGCCTAAATGTTCGGACACAGTCACACCCCCGGGATGTCTGACACCCGGGGTTAAACTCGCGACGCCGGTAATCGATGGAGGATCTGCAATCCTATGAAAACCTCAACCCCCCCCCCCCCCCTTCCTTTTTCCATCGGGGGTATTTTTCTATTAGGTGTTTAACCACTCGACTATAGCGGCCCAGGGAGTCCCCTGGGGTTAGAGAAGTATACAGATAATTATGAGTGATAAAGGGTGTCAGGTTGGCCGTGTGAGAGGTATGAGGATGTGGCTTGTGACCTTGAGGGATGGGTTGGGATGACGGGGTTTTGGTAAGAGGTTTGATAATTTCTTTTCTCTTTTGTCCTTTTCTCTTTTGTCCTGAGGCTATGTACTGTGAGGGTGAGTGAAAAAGGTGGTCTCATGGGAAGAGACAGGTTACACAGGTGAGTAAACCGGCCAGACTCTCGGAACGTGATGAGCCCTGCTCAAAGGAACCATGTGTCATCGCGATGGTCCACATCGTAGTCGACCACGACCAAAACAGACGCCTTCAAAAAGACCGGAAGGTTACTATGTTTTTTTTTTACTTTTTGGTACCTTCTCCTTTACGTAGCTAGCGCCCTATCAAATTTCGAGAACCTAGTGCAGGTTCACAAGGCTGTACCATATCCCTGCGCGCTATGCTCTTCTTCGAATAGAGAATCTTTAACCAGTCGACGCATTGATCACTTCCAAAGGATGTCTCGGTAGATTCGCTCATGACATGATCTCATCAGGAATACCTTCTATTCAAGTGCTTAGCCAAGGCAACTCTCAAAACGCAGACCTACTCTGTTCCGGTCTATCCAGCTCACCTCTTCTTAACTCCGTTGTGTGACACCACTAGGCTTCGTGTGATATCACGAAACCCTCGATGTCCTTTACGAAAATCCCAAGTCAAAGAGCACTGGCCCGTCGTTCACACCGTATTATCTTATCTTCAGTGACAGTATACACCAAGAAAAAGTGACGAATTGCTAAAGAACAATAGAAGTGAACGCTCCAGAGTTGGTTTAGGGGAACATAGTAAACGAGGCTTGTCCTTAATCGACATTTGTTTGTAGTGGTGGGAATAGATCACGACATAAGGGTTTGAGGAGGTGCCACCATGTTTCAAAACCAGTGAGAAAGTATCTCAGCAGATAAAGGAATATTGGGATATGGCAAGAGTAGGGAATCGCTCCCATGATGTGATCTCCAAGGTCTTGTAAGTGAGCCACTACAAGGTGGGAAACACTTGACAGAGCGGCACTGACTTAGTCTAGTTTCGCTGAGGATCATGACATACATATGGGTGCGAACCATGGTATTTGTTTGAAATTTCGTTTGATTCTTTTTTTTTTTTTTTTTGCGTGTGGCTATTCTTCTCGAACTGTCTCTGCAGTTCTCATCATTTTTTGCCATGCCGACGTTTTCAACTATCATAAAACCATAGCAATCATCCCGGTACGTGCTCAATCAACATCTCACATCACAACCCATTTTACGCTGCCTGGCTCGAGGCTCCTACATACCATACCCACCACTCCCTTCCTCACCTCAACGCACAGAACTTATGAGTGCGTAGGCATCGACACATCAGCCTTTTGCGAAATCGCATCGGCAGACGCCCAGAAGGACGTGACGGTCTTCTGCTGCGTCAAGAAGGAGATACCGGGACGTCCGTAAAACGTGTTGGCGCCGCCCGCGGCAACGCTCTTCTTGTTGCCGGTGAAGGAGAACATGGGCAGAGGGACAGGGATGGGCACGTTGATACCGACCTGGCCGGCCTCGATGTTGCGGCGGAAGGCCTCGGCGGTGGCGCCGGAGCGGGTGAAGATGGCCGTGCCGTTGCCGTACTCGTTCTTGTTGATGAGCGCAACGGCCTCGTCGAGGGTGTCGACGTTGAGGCAGACGAGGACGGGGCCAAAGATCTCCTCCGTGTAGCACTTCATCTCGGGCGTCACGTTGGTGATGATGGTGGGCGCGACCCAGTTGCCGTTGGGGTACTTTGCGGGCTTGTAGCCGCGGCCGTCGAGGAGGATGGTGGCGCCCTCGTCCTCGGCGCTCTGGATCAGGCTCTCGATGCGCTGCTTGCTCTGCGGGGAGATGACGGGGCCGAGGTCGGCGCCGGCCTCGAAGCCGCCGTCGACCTTGAGCTTCTTGGCCAGCTCGGCCAGCTCGGGGAGCCACTCCTTTGTCTCGCCGACGAGGACGAGGGTGCTGAGGGCCATGCAGCGCTGGCCGGCGGCGCCAAAGGCAGCGCCGACGACGCTGTTGAGGAAGTGGTTCTTGTTGCAGTCCGGCAGGACGGCGGCGTGGTTCTTGGCGCCGAGGTTGGCCTGGACGCGCTTGCCGTGGGCGGAGCCCTTGTTGAAGATGTACTCGCCGGCCTTGTTACCGCCGACGAAGCTGACGGCCTTGATGACAGGGTCCTCGAGGATGAAGTCCACCGTCTTGTGGGCGCCGTGGACGACGTTGACGACGCCCTCGGGGAATCCGGCCTTTTGGACAAGCTCGGCGAGGATCATGGCCGCGCCGGGGTCGCGCTCCGAGGGCTTCAGGATGAGAGTGTTGCCGGTAACGGTCGCGATGGGAATGCACCAAAGGGGAATCATGGCGGGGAAGTCTAGTTACTGTTAGCTTCAATTCTTCGCCGTCGTCTTTCCAACAAAGAAACCATGTCAGGTTCACTTACTAAAGGGGCAGATGGCAGACACGACACCCAATGGCTCGCGGTAGCTTCTCGTCTCCATGTCCTTGGCGACCTCCAACACCTCGCCCTTCAAGAGCTCAGGCGCACCGCAGGCGGCCTCGGCAACCTGCAGACCACGGAGGACATCACCCCGGGCGTCGGCAAACGTCTTGCCCTGCTCGAGGGTGATGCTCGCCGCCAGACGGTCCCAGTTCTCGCGGATGAGGGCGACGAACTTGAACATGATCTGCTGGCGGGCGAGGACGCTCATGGCACGCCACTTGGGGAAGGCCTTCTCGGCCGAGTCCACAGCCGACTGCAGCTCCTCGGTGGTCATCTGCGGCACGCGGGTGACGAGGTTGTTGGTGGCCGGGTCGTGGAGGTCGATGAAGTCGGTCGCGGCCGAGGTCATGAACTTGTTGTCCAGGAAGAAGGGGGTGTCTTCTGGCTTGGCAATCTTCTCGTGGGTGTTGGGGTATGACTCGGCCGTCGAGTCCAGGGCGGCGTTGAGGTGCTTCGCCGTGGCGTGTATCCTCCTCGCCGCGACGGCGGAGGTGGGTGAGCCGGAGGAGGCCATGATGGTAGGCTTTGAGAAGAGGAGTGATGAGCGGGTGAGAGATGCTCTAGAGGTTCGGCCAGCACCGGTAGTAATGCTTCGAGTGAATGCTCGACGCATTGTGAAAGAAGGAGGGAAAAGGGAGAAGAGGGGAGAGGAGGAGAAGGAAGAGGAAGAAGGGTATAGGAGAGGTCTCTGACGAGAGCCAACGATTGGGTAAACTAGAGACAGATAGTGCTACACACTGCAAGAACAACAAACTGTCCGCTCCGTCGTCTTGGGATCGTTCGTCTCAAGCCAATTGCCAGCCACTTCTTTCACGAGAGACGCGGGAACCGGAGTCGAGCGACATCGTAGTCCCTTATAAAGTCCCAGGGAACTCGGCGAGCTCCCAGAGTGTGGGGAAAGGTTGGGGTGGGGTAAGATAACGCTGCCATGGCTGCCACTGATTTTAGAATCCCTGCCCAGTTTCCCCCAAGCTCCCAGTTGGCTCCTCCCAGCCGAAGCCGGCCCCAATGCCGCCTTATGCCGAGAGGGAACCGTGCTTTTTGGTGCTACAAGCGTCAGGTGGGCGCTCTCCGCCGGCGTAAACGGCGTAAACAGCGTATCACCCTACTGCGTATGCGGCGGAGAAGCGGCTGGTGGATCTGAGACCTTCATAGCGGGAGACCGGGGGCCACATTTGACCGCGGAGCTGATGACCTTATCTTGAGATGACGGGATGGACCTGGAACACGATGACATTTCACTTTGAACTTTTCATTTCACATCACATCTGAAATCGGAACGTAATGTTGTAATCAATCCCTTGTTTTTTTTGGTAGCTAGAATACACCTACGCCATGCTCTCTGTCTGTCCCTCGATGACCAAAAACAGGCATAGAATGAGGGAGTTAAACTGAAAAAAGCAGCATCCATGATTCTCTTCGGTTCTTGATACCACCCCTTGTGCTTACGTTGAAGCACGATACTTTTAGGCCTCTGGCCTTCTTCCGGCGACGATATCAAAGAGAAAGCAAACTAATTCACAATTCAATCGCAAGAACCGTTCTCATCTAAGACGAGCTGCGGGTGTTGCGCTTGGTAGCGTCCTTCGCGACGTCGGCGCCAGAGGCAACAGCCTTGGTGGCCTTGTCCTTGACCTCCTTCGCCTTGTCCTTGGCATCAGCCGCAGCCTTCTGGGCAGCGGGGGGAGCACCACCAGAGCTGGCAATGCCGACAATGATGGCAATCAGAGTGACGAGAAGAGCGCCGATACCGCCAGCAACCTCGGGAACGAACTTGACGGCCTGGATGGGGTCCTTCTGGGCAATAGTGATGAAGAGGTCAAGCTTCTCCTTGATGAAGTGAACGGGGTCGTCAAGGAACTTGAGGTCGTTGGGGGACTTGGGCTTCTCGGCTTCCTTGGGCTTGTCGGCGAGCTCAGCGAGCTGCTCAATGGGGTGCTTCTCCTTGAAGGTCTCCTCGGCAAGCTTGGCAGCATCCTCAACGGAGTGGCCAATGTAGATGTTGTCGAAGAGGATGTCGTTCTGCATGGTCCAGATCTCGAAGCCAATCTGTTGTTTCATCCGTTAGCAGGTGAAAGACATACCGGTACGTTATCGGGAATACTTACAGCGCCCATGGGCTCGAAGTTGGCAGGGGTCTTGTCCTCGAAGTAGTCGGGGTTCTTAATCTTGCGAGGAGCCCAGACGCCCTTGTAGGCGGGGTTGTCAATGTAAGGCGCGGTCCACTTGCCCTTGTAGTCGGGGTTCTTCTTCATGGGCTTGGTCCAGGGGCCACATCCAGAAGCCTCAGTGCACTTGGGGTTGGGAACGGTAGGGGCGACCCAGTCACCATCCTCCTCATCATCCCAGTCCTCGGGCTTCTGGGCCTCAGGGTCGGGAATGGTCTGAGCCTCATCCTCGAGCCAGTCCTCGGGCTTAGTGGCCTCCTCATCGACAATCTCGTAGGGGGCGTCCTCATCCCAGTCCTCGGGCTTCTTGGCCTCGGGGTCGGCGATGCGGGCCTCATCGACCCAGTCCTCAGGCTTGGTGTCCTTGGCGTCGTCAATCTCCTTCTCAGGGTTGACGGAGGGGGAGAAGTCCTCGAGAAGGGAGCCGGTCTTGACCTGCTCGCCGTTCTGCTGGATGATGAAAGTGTTGTTGGGGTGGACAATGAGAGTGTAGAGCTCGGTGGTCTTGACAATGCGAGCGGTGGGGGGAGAGGTAAGGTGCTTCTCCTCGTAGTCACCAGTCTTGGGGTTCTTGTGGTTGAAGATGAAGTGAACCTTGTTGGTGTGGCCGCACTTATCGGGACCGAACATGATCACATAGGGAGTGGCGTTCGAGAACTCCTCAGAGTGAAGAGCCTTGTTCTCACGGAGAAGCTTGAGGTAAGCACCACCGCACTCAAGACCGTCTGAGAGGGAACGAATGTTAGCACTCTGTCATAAGGCTGCAGTTTGAGCGAAGTGACGCGGAACTTACTCTGAAGCTTGACTTCGTACTGAACAACGAGGGTCTTGCCCTTGTTGTCGATCTTCTTAGGGAACTTGGCCGAGATGGCGTGGTGAGCGGCGGGGTTCTTGACAACAAGACCCTTGTCGCCCTCCATGCCCTTGTAGACGGTAGGCTCCTCGACGGACCACTCGCCAACGTAGGCCCATTCCTCGTCATCCTTGGAGTCCTTCTTGGCGTGAGAAGGGCTCCAGCGGCTCTCCCAGTCGTCGGTGAACTGCTCCAAGAAAGGAGCCTTTAGGGTGGTAGGCTGTGGAATAAAAAAACCGCTGTCAGATAATTGCTTATTTCATTGCGGGTAGAGCAGGTGCGGAGAAGCTCCAAGGAATCCCCCCAGCCCCGTTCCCATTGTGCATTGAGCTCATGCGTCAAACATGAGATTGCAGCGAATGAACAGTGAGGGTGAGGAAGCTTCACACGGAGCAACAAAGAAAGCCATTGGTGAGGAGAAGGGGAGAGCTTACCGTGAAGGTGGACAGCTGGGGAGTGACCGAGGTAGAGGACTCAGCAGCAGTGGAGGTCTTATCCTCACTGAGGACCTTCTGAGCATCGTCGGCGTAGACGCCAGCGAACATTGCCGCAGCGGACAACGCAGCAGCGTTGAACTTCATGTTGGGCGAGATGTGGAATCGGTGTCTCGGCTTCAGTCGGGTTCAGGTAGATGAGGGGGGGAGGTAAGTAGCGTTAAAGCTGTTGGGTTGTAAAGGAAAGATTGTCAATTGAATGACAAAGAGGGTAGAAAGGGCTCCCGGTCGCGGTGGATGGAGAGGATTGGTATTTTCGAGGAGGAAATTCCCAAGGAGAGGGAAAAGAGTTTCGGAAGGAGGAATGGGGCGAGGAAGACGACGGATTTATCAGTCCGTGAGGCAGGCACGCGCAAGCGGGTTGTGCTCAACGTGTCCTTTTTTTGCGGTAAAAGGTCCCCAGCAAAACCTCAGCGACCAAAAAAGCAGAGAGCACCCGAAAAAAGGCCAGGTAGGGGAGAGCTCACTAAGGTGTGGCCCGTCGGGGTAAGGTTCGGCAAGGCAGAGGTTCTGGGCCAATCAAATTGGCAGAAAATTGGAGAATTTTCGGGGGGACCAGCAGCGAGAGCAGTTGCCGTAGCATGCAATCCGCTACCTAGCTTCAGGGGTCGTCGGGGTAGCACGCCGCTGCCCACCACAGCCCGGTGTAGCCAATGCAAAGCCGCTGCGGTACCTTTTTCAGTGGGCTGCTTCTGCTGACAATGACATGCGGCATGCGGACTGTGGCTCGGTGAGGTGAGGAAAGTGCGGGGGCCCTTGGCGACGGAATGGGATCCACTGGTTCTAACAGTGAAGGGAAGGAGGGGGATATTCATGGTGCTTCGACGAGCTTCCAAAGTCTCAATTGCTGATCCTGGCTGATGGACTGAGCTCTTCCGACCTCAACTGGGTTGCCATCCACTCCTTTCGTACACCAGTTGGCGGAAGATGAAGAGAGACTGGTGTATCGCTCTCAGGAGCATGCACTCTGCGATGTATCGCGATTTAATCGAGGCTAGTATCTGAGGTTGGCGGCTGATCCCGAAATGTCTCGAGATGGACTGTATCAGTGCCGCGCCGTTGGAGCTGCCATTGCCATTCACTGCTCTACTAATATCACACACGGTCGACCAGAATAGTAATATGGGTGCGCATTGAGCAGACAAGACTGCGAAAATACACAGATATGCCTCGGTCCAAGCCAACGTCTGACTGACACTGGCACGACACGATCCCGGCTGGGTTTCACTGGCTCGATTGATCGAACAGACATCCGTTTCGGGCAGGCGTGTTTGCGGATTTAATATGACAGGAGTCAGGCTTCTAATTTGTCCTAATATCTCACGAAAGCTTCCTCCTGAATAAGGGCGTCAAGGTGGGCGCTCCCCACTCGACGGGATAAATAGAAACATGGGCGTTCGACCGTCGTCGAAAAAAGGCTAGGTGTCCTCTTTTTTTGTCGCATCACCTGCAGGACGCCTAATCAGCCTCAACCAGCGACCGGACTAGCTGCCGATTCTTCACCAGTCTGTCTCATCATCTCTCCTAGCACCACCTGTTGGTATCCGTCTCCTTTTGCCAATCCATGAACCCGTGCCGTACAGCGAGACTTCATACTCCGCCGTCGCATTTGCCAGCTATGGCCTGGAGCGTGGAAGCGCCCATTTGTAATTGGAGCTGCCGATGGACCCGAGTTGACAGAGCTGCGAGATGGGCGCGGATTGACCAATCGCAAGAGCCTCTGTCACTGTCTCGTAAATCGCAACTCTTTGGAGTGGAAGAAGAGCGTTCCGTGCCTTTGCGTGCTTGCCATGTGGGGAAGTCGACAACTACCACTGGCTCATCTCTCCTCTCGCCTCACTCAGCCTCACATGAGCTCGTGTGGCTGGTGCGAAAATTTCCCGACTCTTGTGACTGGGAGAACTTGGTTTTACTGAGTAAACATATCGCAATCGTGAGCTCAAATTTTCCTGGATACCCGATAAACAGTTTTGTACCTCCAAACTAGGATCTCCGTATTTTCCACTACCTTCTACAAGTTCTAGCCTGAGCCAAACCGAGTATAACAGAGTCCCAGGATTCGATACCCCCCGTTCGCTACCCAAATTACCCCGCGAAACTCATCTCATAAAGCCAGCCCACCATGGCGTCCACAACTGAGATTGAGAACTCCGACCTGCTCGTCACCTCAAACGACCCGGAGCACCCCGCGAATCTCATTCCTTCGCTGTGCGCAAAGTTTTGGACACTAGGCTGGGTTACCGGCACCGGCGGTGGCTGCTCTATCCGGGATGAGTAAGTTTTGCATCTTCCATGATTGTACTTCAAAGAATGGGCCATTGTCAAAAAGCACCGTGTATCTCATTTTGATAACCACAACTTGTTTCCTCATCTCATATACGAAGAAAACAAGACATCATCATCATACCCCTATCTCACAAACTTCACCTCACTTGGTGCACATACACATAAAACTACCTGAAACACATAAATCATGACTCTCACTTACACCCTTCCAGCGACCTCGTCTACCTCGCCCCCTCAGGCGTCCAAAAAGAACTCATGAAGCCCCAGGACATCTACGTCCTCTCACTCGCCGCCCAAGAAGCATCCCTCAAGAACCGCGTCTACCTCCGCTCCCCGCCCTCCTACAAGCCCTCCCAGTGCACCCCCCTCTTCCTCGCCGCCTTCACCCGCCGCGGCGCCGGCTGCTGCATCCACACGCACTCCCACTGGGCCGTCCTCGTCACCCTCATCCTCGAGGGTCAAGGCCGCGCCGGCGGCAACGACAAGCTGTTCGAGATCAACAACATCGAACAGATCAAGGGCTTCGGAAAGGGGTTCCAGAAGCAGGGCAACCTCGGATACCACGACACCCTCCGGATCCCCGTCATCGAGAACACGGCACACGAGGAGGACCTGACGGAGTTCCTCGAGGAGGCCATGGACAAGTATCCCGACACCTACGCCGTGCTGGTGCGGAGGCACGGCGTCTACGTCTGGGGCGATAACGTCCACAAGGCCAAGACGCAGTGTGAGAGGTGAGTTTTTGAGTCTCTCCGAGAGAATGAGATTATCATGTCTCTCTCCCCGTTGCAGAAAATCGGGACGGAAACCTGCTCTTCTCATCTTGGAAACATTCCTCCTCTTCCCTCATCCCTTGTTCCTGATTTCCCTCATACCGATTATTTGTCTCACAGTTGAAAGCGTGGAAATATGCTAACGAGGACGTTCCGTAGCTTGGACTATCTCTTCCAATTGGCCGTTGAGATGAAACAGTTGGGCATCCCCTGGATCAGCGACATTCCAGTAACTGTTCCTACCCGGTCCTGAAAGAAGATTAGCAGTCGAAGAAACCGCTCTGATGACTGACGAGGGTCTTGTGACGTCTCTGCAATGAACAACTTGATCGGAGTCACTTACGCAGTACCTGTGTCTGAAACCAGACCGCCACCCGTCAAAAAGCAAATCGCATTGCGCACCGAACCAACATGCCGTTGCAAGGAGTCAACGCCTCAGATCCGCTTATCACTTGGAATATGCGTTCAACTCGGTACATGGACCACATGTCACACAGGAAGACGAGCGCCTTCAAGCACGCACGAACTATGAGGAAGACATTGTGATATTGAAGTTTGGCAGACGTTGGTGTCCGCTAGTAACATTAACACATATCCTTGTAATCTGCCTATTAAATCATTGACCACATATATAGTAATCGTCTCCCTGATGGTATATACCCCTCTCCGTGAATCCATACATTCATCCCACTCATCCTCTCATCCACCTTTTATGTTCATCCTCCGAATGGCAAAGGTATCTAGATCAGGAGAGCGGCGCCGATAAGACCGACAACACCGAACGAAGCAGAGCCGACCAGGGCGGGGGCAGCAGCGTTGGCGGTGGAAGATGAGCTGGAGGCAGCCTCGGTGCCAGAGGCAGCAGATGAACCGGAGGCGCGAGTGGCAGTGCCAGAGGCAGAGCCAGTGGCAGCGGCGGAGCCGGTAGCGGTGGCAGCAGTCGCGCTGCCGCTTGAGCCAGAGCCGGATCCAGATCCAGCGGTAGCAGCGGGAGAAGAGCCGCTGCTCCAGTAGTTCTCAGCGATACACTTCGAAGTACACTGGGCATAGCGATCTGTGGCTGCCGCAGATCCGTCACCCTGATCACACTTGGCGACGCAGGCGGTGGTCTTGTTGACCTGGTCCTCGTTGGGGTTGGGGACCTGTGAGCACCATATGTTAGTCTTTTCGTGAAATTTCATCGGGATGGCGCCGTCTGTGGGTCCCTGAACGTACCGAGATACACTTGGCCTGGCAGTTGACGTCGGTGGCAGGGCAGCCAGACAGGCACTTCTCAATGACAGCCTGAGCGGAGGAGGCAGCGGAAGCGGATGTGGTGGTGGTGGACTGGGCGGCGGCCAGGACGGCAAAGGCGCCGGTGACGATGATGGAGGTGAAACGCATCTTGACTGGTAGTAATTGGTCTGTGGTGTTACACGGGTGTATTAAGAATGGTGTAAGTTGTTGATATCCGAACAAGAACAGCGAATGTAGGCGTTTTGAAACAGGTGATCGAGCAACGAGTGTATGGCGGAGGCTAGAGAGGGAGGGAGGAAAGGAAGGGAGACCAGGAACAGAGTGGATGGACTGGAGGTGGGTTTAATAGTGTGCAGTGTTCCGAGCGAAAATCCATCTCTGGATCCAATGTCGACCTTTTCCCGCTCGGGGTGACAAGCCAAGGCGCGCCCCCAGGTGCCATGCTATGATTAGCCTTGGTAGTGTGGTCTCTTCCCTGCGCTGCCCACCCACCCCTTCACCTCTTCAGCTGCAAAGTTGTGTGACCCATCGATGTTCTCCGTGTGTCGATGGGCCGGGAACACGCTTGTGTCTGCACGCAACTTGCAAGGGCGGATTCTGGGGTGGGTAGACAGGGTGTGGGCTCAACGAGGACCTGAAAGTTTTACTGCATACACTAGGTATTAGCAAGAGACGACGACCAAGAGAGCAAAGTAAGTACTAGGTACGGAGCAGCACCACGTACTAGAAGCCAAGCCGGCCAACAAGACCTGATTCTCCTTCGGGTTGAGCTTGTGACTTGTGACTCGACTCATAGCCGGTTGCCCCCGTCCCTTGTTGTTGATGTGGGCGGAAGGACTCAAAAGCCAAACACAAGCGAAAAAAGGGGAGCCCAAAGCAAGGTTGGATGGAGGTTGACGATCGAATTGGATCGCGCCGCGTCTGGGGAAAGATTGGGACCTGCGCCATGGACTGAGGTCAGGACGTGACCTAAGGCAGGTACGTACCGCACATAGCCTTAAGGTTAGGCACTTTGAGCCTTTTCGAAGTAAGGCAGGAACTTACGGATACACTAGGAAGGAGGCACGGAGGAGAGAACCCACTTCCTTCTTCCCTCCCGTCCGCGTCGAAAGCGAAAGCAAGAGCGAGAAAATACTCCCGGCCCAGAAAAAACGAGGTGCAGCACTTGCAGTCTTGCAGACCAACCATGCCTGCCAAAGTGGGCCCGGACCAACTGTTTAATCCCAAATTTAAAATTGCACTTTGACTTTTTGCTCTCTCCCTCTGCCAGGATTGCCAGGGCCTCTTCGAATCTCCTCTCATTGTTTGCAACGGCGAGCCAATTGTCACCTGTCTCGTCCCTTGCAATGTCTCCATCCATCAGGACTTGCCGGGTCCAAGGCCAGCGAGGTATTACATCAGTGTGGAGGGCCGTTGGTCTGGTGGTCTGTTCGTATTCCCCTCTGCGTTTTGTCGAGGCCCTCGATCGAACCTCGCCACGACTTTAGCCTCCGTCCACCACCACCACGCGGGTACAAGGTCTCATTTGACACATTGAATTTGGTATTCGAGGCATTGACGCCTCTATTTGAGCCCTGTACCTATACAGCACGCTATCGATGCAACCACGGCAATATAGCTGCAGAGGCTTACTTGTGCCTGTGTGGTATTAGAGAAGAAAACCGTTCAGACGATGTTGACAGCCAAGCACAGGGGAAACATCCGCAGAAGAAAATAAAACAACAGACGATTTTCACGGACGAATGCTCAACGACCAGCGTGACACGACCCTGGCGCGTCTCCTCGAGTAATGCAGGGTTGCCTGGCAAATGGCACCGTGCCATTGGCCGAGGGCACATGCCCTTGTCTCAGGGGCCAGACGACCAGCGCTGTCGACCTGTCGACCGGACAAAGCGCTGGAGCGCCACACTCTATACCACTGCGCAAGCGCTCCATCGGGTACCTGAGAAAGCTGAGATGCGCTGCCGACTAGCACCTGAACGGCCATTCCAAGGACCCAAGATGAGCACTAGATGAGACGGAACGTCGGAACCTGAGCGAGTCTCAACCTGCCGCCAAGTTTTCTTCTCGACGGTGGGACGGCCAACTGTGGTGAAATGGTGAATAGCCAACAGCATTTGGCACTTTGCTCATCCGTCGGCCTAGGAGCGACACCGGTGACGGGCCATGACGATCCATCAGTCCACTGAGAATCCTCCCCCCTGTGACCTAGATTCGTTTCGAAGCACCTCCTAGTGACGGCTCTTTACAGGACGGGATGGATATCCGTCCAAACGAGCTTATGTTCGTCCGGCTTCATTTGGGTCTACTCTATTCCCGACCGACAGCCGATCATCGTCATATGCCGTTACCCGTCAGGCCAACCACTTACACAGGCATGTGAGGGCTGATGGGTTATACACACACAATGCACTCCTGGAGACCCAAGTGCCGTTACCAGCTGCAGTGAGATTGAGAATAAGACCAACGATCCCAGAAATACATTTCGCCTCATTGGATTTCGTATGAAGCGGATTCTGCATGAATACGAGATGCCCACCAACCACATCGCTCAATGAACGATCTTTGATCTACATCCCACAGACAGTGCCACACGACACCTCCCAACACACCAATGCCGTGCCGTAGAGCCGTTGGACTTGCGTTACGGGTTATGGCCCGCCCAGAGGATGCGCCGTCAAGTCTCCGCCTGTGGCGATGCACCATTTCAGTTCTTCTGATTCCCGTTTGCAGCAAAAAGTCGGAGAATTTGGCAACGAATAAGACATCGCTACACCTTTAGTCGTCTTGGATCGTGTGCAGCCTGCCACGGGCTGTCTCGTATATCCGGGCCCTCGAGTAACTACTACAACATCGGCATACGTATTTTCGATTGCAATATTCTATGGTAATGGGTCTCACCAAACCGAATCTCACGGCATGTCCGACTTTGCTCCCTGTTGCTCAATCCCAGAGAGCGGAAATTTCACAACGTCATGCCGTCCTCACCCGTCCGAACACTAGACCGCTCCGGCCCTTTCTATGCTCCTCCCTGGCGCCCAAGTTCAATGCACTGGGGAACGTGGCAGAGAAAAGGCACATCCCTGCCCCGCGATCGCAGCATGTCATTGGCCGCTTACTCGCCCGGCTTTCCATGTCACTTCTCCTTTCTAGAAGTTAGAACGGCGCTTCTCGAAATAAGCTCTAAAGGGTACTGCGTATTGGGAATTTGGGACGAACTTTGGAGCCGGGGTAAGGCTTCGAGATGCGCCAGTATGCGAAAAATCATAATGGCCAAATTCCTCATCGCGGCCTAGCCGTTACGATGGAATGCCACATACATGATGAACAAAGGAACGGCGCCTTGGGCGCTTCTCCAGACTTGCAACGGGGGCACCACTAGGACTAGGCCTCGCAGCAATACAGTTACTACGTCGCGACCTGGATCAAACGTACGAGTGCCGGAGATCAAAATCATTGTTCATGTGATGATATTTCTTCTTTTACCGAGACCGCTTAGCCGTTTCGTAAGAGCAGTCCCTCGGCGTTTGGTCGCCTGACTACCTTACTCAGAGCTCGTCTCGCTGCCTAATCTCTTCTTGCGCTTCTTGCGCCCCTTGCTTCAGCTCATCACCGGGCACCTGGTCAACCACGGCCTCACCCTCTAGCGGCTCGCCTTCGTCCACCATCGTCTCCTCGCCGATCTCTGCCGGCATCTCCTCCACAATCTTACCCACCTTCTCAACCAACGACTCGGGATCTCCACCGACCGCCGATCGCTGCGGCTCCCGTCCGACTTCAATAGTAGGCAGCGACTCATCCGGCAAACCCTCGACGTCAATCTTGCCCTCGTTGACGACCACGGCCTCGGAGGGGCTTCCGGACCCGGCGTACTTGACCACCGCTCCGCCGCCGCCAACGGTGAGGTTATACACCAGACGCAACGGCAGCCAGACCAGCCACCACATGGGCCCGTACAGCAACCTCCGGAACAGAAGCCACGCGCCCGTCGCCATGAGCATGTAGAGCGCCGTCTGCAGGTACCACGTATCGCTCTTGTTCGACCGGAGCAGCGTACCCAGAAGGTCCTTGGAGCTCGCCAGCATGGTGTCGAGCGAGCCGTACGAGTCGTCGAGCTGCGCCAGCGCCGCCGAGGACTCGGTCAGCGTCTGGTGCGCGAACTCGCTGCGGGCCAGCTCCGCCGCGATGAGGTCGTGCGTGCGCCGCAGCGCGCTGGTGACGTTGCCGCTGGCGCCGACCGTCTGTTTGTCCTCTTCTGTCAGGGAGCTCGTGTTGTGGTTCGCCGTCTGGTGGACATGGCGGTGGCGGACGACGTCGGGCTTCTGTTGCGCGCTGAGAGATGGCGAGGACGCTTCGGAGACGGGCTGCGAGTAGGATTGGATGAGAAGTTCGCGCTCGAGGCGCTGAGCCTGAGAGAGGTTGCGCCGGGCTGCAAGTTGCGCCTTGCGGAAGGTGATTCGTGAACTATGTGTGGCATTGCGTGTTAGTGACCCTTGATTCTCCCGTCCATAATTCGCCGAGATGCTCTGTAAACGGAAGTCAGAGCTAGGGGGTATCCTCACCTCTTGATCTCCTGCTTCAACCTCTCCATGCCATCCTTGAGACGGGTCTTTGTGTGCTCCACCTCGCTCCCCGGCCTGCCGTCCCTGAGATCCTCCACCTCCTCCCCGAGAAGCTCCAGCTCGTCCTCCTCTTCGCGGAGAATCTGGCTGATTTCCGAGCTCAGCTCCGCGCTGGCGCTATTTTCTTCGTCTGCTGCTGCGCCGCTGCCGAGCGGGACCGATCCCGGCTGGAATTTGAGGTTCTGGAGTCGGTCGATGAGGTCTTTGAGCTGAGTCGTGGTCTCTTGCAGGGCCGTTAGGCGCTCCTGCAGACCTTCGAAGGACATGGCTTCTTGCTTCTTCTTTTCCCACTTCCTTGCCCTTTGCGATTTGGATCGTCTGATTCGATGTGTGTACGTTACTCCCCAGTCGCTTCTCTTTGTAGAAAATCGCAAGGGAAAGGTTCTCGAAAAGGGGGGAGGCGGTGTTGTAAGTCAAGGTGCGCTGAGGCAAGGTAAGGTAGGGGCGTAAAGCTGGCCTTTCGCGGTGACGAAATGTGTGGCACAGAGGGATAGAGCCCCCCGTTATACCAATATGCAACTTGCTGCGCCACATAGTCTTCGGCCGCCGGGGGATGCCGCAAGCCACACGCGGCGGCGTCCAAGCTCCTCCCCCCGTCCTCCCGAGTCCCGACACGAGCCACGCGACCCAAATTTTTGGCGACAGCTTCGAAGCGCATTGTGAAGTACCTAATTGAAAGTTGAACCACCTCCCGCTTGACTACACCATCGCCAACTCCCTCTCTCGTCTGACCTCGCCCTCAAGTCCGCCTTGAACGATACGATACCACCCAACTGCATCATATCCTGACAAACCTACACGTTCTGCGAAACACAATTGAACCGCCAAAATGATTACCAAATTCATGACCGAGATCACGACAAAGTTCAACCCCTTCTCGCCCGCAGCCAAGTCCGCGCGCCTCTTCATGTCCAACATCCCGCCCACGGCGCGCTCTACGGGCACGACGATCAAGACTATCCTCCTGCCCCGGACGTCGACGGAGCCCGCTTCGCTTTACGTCAAGTTCAGTACGTTCCCCCCCTTGCCGTCTGCACCTACTCGTTTCCTGTCTCAATCCTCCAGAAGACAATCGTTGTGAAGATTGAACCTTGGCTAATATATTGCGTGTGTATAGAGGACGGCAAGGAAATCACGATTGACTGCGAAAAGATGGGCGTCAAGAACATGATTGAGGAGGTGGACAGACACTCTCGCGGTCTGCAAAAGGCTGCCGACTTGACCGACTAGACGTAAAGGCCAGAGAGGAAAGAATCCGTGTACTATTATAGCATCTTGTTCTTTTTAACGATAACCCGGCGTTTCATGTTGGAATTGGGAACGATAGATATCCCTCAGGGCTCTCTCGATTGGCTACGTCAGGCGGCTCAATGTGTAGGAGACAGACTAGACGAGTGAGGCAGATGCTGTCAAACTACTATTGTACAAAAATGCTTCAGGGGACTGAAACAACTCCTGCGAATGAAAGATTATCGACATCACAAGAAGCTCATGTGAAGCTCATGACTTAGGTCACAAATAGTTTCAATGACACAGATTTTACGGTACTTTAACTTTTTTGGTATTCTAGTTGACGCCTTTCAGGCCGTCGAGCTCTGACTCCGTTTTCGACAACATCTACTAACAAAGTGACGCAAAAAATATGGTCTGAGCTTTCGTCTGGCTAAAGCAATCCGCCGGTACTACCAATTCAAGAAATCACAAGGGGGGGGGGAGGGATCCCTTATGCGGAGGCACCGCTGATGAAGAACCACTTGTCGATGGAGGCGTCGATCTTGGCGGCGGGGAGCTCCTCGTGAGCGGGCAGAGGGGGGAGCTGGCCGGCGCTGATGAGAGCGGGGGACTGCTGGACGGTGGTGTTGCCGCTAAAGACGAGATTGTCAGTAAAGGTATTCAGACAAAACGTGGCTTGCTGCGCCAAGGTATTGCGTGATAAAAAAAAACTTACGTGGAGACGCTGCCGGCCTGGGTCTTGCCGGTGATGAGTCTCTCCCAAGCCTCGGCGCACTCACGGACGACGTCCATGGCGTAGCTGTGGCATTTGGTTAGCTTAAGGATAATAGGTAAGTATATCAATTGTTCAAGACGAACCTCTTGTTCTTGCACTCGCCGGTGAAGGCGAACTGGTTCTCGGGCTTTCCGTCGGGGATCTTGTAGATGCGGAACCACTCGTTGGTGGCACGGAGAAGGCCGGGCAGGTGGCGCTCGACGTCCTCGACGTCGTTGAGCTTGGGGGCGAGCGGGTCGTTCACGTCGATAACGATGACCTTCCAGTCGGTCTCCTCCTCGTCGAGCAGGGCCATGACACCGAGGACCTTGACCTGCTTGACCTGGCCGGTGTAGCCGACAAGCTCACCGATCTCGCAGACATCGAGCGGGTCGTTGTCACCCTTGGCCTTGGTCTCGGGGTGGATGGCGTTGGGGTCCTCCCAGGTCTGTAGCACAGCGTTAGATATTGTTTTTTTCGACCACAGGCTGTTATCTTTTCAGGGGCCTTTTTCCTTCGTACCTGGGGGAAGGCACCGTAGTTCCAGAGGTAGCCCTTGTGGGGGAAGCAGTTGCGGACGTAGCGAAGCTTGCCCTTCTTGATATCCTGCTTGATGGGGTTGAGGAGCTCCTCCTTGGAGATCTGCGGGTTGAATTGTCGGTCAGCGTCACATGCCCGTTTTCATTCGTGCTCGTGTCTCAATGCTCATGGCAGAGCAACCATAGCGATCACGGCACAACAAAGGGGAGGACACGAATGCTTACCTCGAGCTTGGCGTTGGTCCAGCGGGGGATCTCAACAACCATGTTCAGGATGGTCTGCTCCTGGTTGGCGTACAGAGGAATGTCGTGGAAGGGGGAGACGGGGACGCCATCCTTCTCGATGTAGACACGGTGCTCGAGGGTGTTGGGAGCACCAACCTTGCGGAGGGAGTAGGGGGAAGCCATTGCGGGCGATTGGTGATGGAAACTTGGGTCAGAGTCCTTTGAGATGGTAGAGAAGTGACGGGCAATCTGCGCGGTGCGTTGGGAGGGAATTTTGGATTTAATACCGGGGGCACCAGCAGTTTGTGACGGGCGAGGAGGGGTGCCGTTGGCGGATGATGCAAGGAGGGATGGAGGGGGAGGGGTAGGAGACCCGGACGTTAGCTTGGTGTGTGCCGCCAGGGTTGCAGAGTGATTGGCCCGGGACGGGGCCTGTATCGGGGGTCGACGAGTGAGTGTGGAAACGGGGCTGGGTCGGGCGGAAGGCACGCGAAAACTGAGTGCGCGGCGGCCAGTACCAGTACAGGCGGTGGAAGGCAGAGGCAGTACGGATACGGGGATGGATGAGCTGACAGAGCTGACAGTTGTCTTGCGGAGGGACGGGAGCTGCAGCTTAATGCCTCGTAACAGCGGCATGTGTGTAGGTAGTGTAGGTAGTATACAAAGTGACCTTGGGGCCGGGCCGGAGGGAAATCGGTCAAAGGAGAGTAGAAGAAAGGGGGATCAAAGGGGAATTCGGCGTGTGGCGTTTAGAGTTATATCACACAACAGAGGACTCTTCAGCAATTGCGGTAAGACTATTTCGGTCTCATCCGAGGTTCAATGGCAAAAAGAGGGTGAGTGTTGCGCAAGACGCTAAAAGATGTAGCCGTGGCTGGATTGCTGCCGTTCGAACAGGATGGATGCTGGATGGGTCTTTGAGGTACTCGCGGCTATCGGGGCTGCAGAGGCTAAGGAAAAGGCAATTGCTTCTGGTCAGGACGGGGCAAGGAAGAAACCGGGAGAATCGTTCAGTCTGTTTTTTGTCGCGACAGCAGCCTGCCGACAACGCAGCCTTCAGAAAATTCTTCACTAGCCTCACCGTGGCTGGAGCTTGCCGACGTACCCCTGCAACTTTGCCCCTCAGTTACCCCTCCATAGCGTCAAGGTCTCTATCAGATGTCTCTCAAGTCTCAACCAAGAAGATGCCATTAATTGTTCAGGTACATGACATGGTCAAGGCTTCCAAACAGTGCCTATTTGAGTTGAATGTGATGTCAGCCTCCCAAGGCATCTATGTCTTGTGCGTGCGCTATCCATACAAAATACTCGAGTGTCTTCCTACCAGAGTGCACCAACTGGTGCTCATGTAGCTGATATTCGTTGAGTTTTCTTGTAGAACACAACCTTCAAAAGGCTTAGCTATAAGACGCAATTTATTCATGATTAAGCGGGAAGTTTGTTGCCTCGGTTTTGTATGTGAGACGGTCGAAAACCTCTATTGAGAACTTTGGTAGAACACTACTGCACTAGTATTTGGGGAAAACCCCCAAAGCAAAACAACTTCTCTAAACCAGTGATTATCGAGTTATCAAAGTGACTCACTGGATGCAACGATCTCAAGTCGCGGGCGGCATTTGACAGACAAAAGCAGTGCCCAAATCGCATTCAATTCGGCTAAGCGACGCCAAGTTGAATAGTCAAGAGAACTGCCACCAGTCAAGTACCTTTCTCGAGTAGCTCAAGCAGAAGCACTTAAATCAGCCAGTGGCCCACAATCAGAGTAAATAGTGACCAGGAACATTCTATGGCAGATTTTCGGTAGAAAGATGGAATTCCTGGCATCTCAAATACTTTGTGGTTGGTAGGTTCCTCGATTGGTGATCCTCATGCTTGTTCACTCAAACGCCACACCCCGATACTTGCTTATCGATAAGATACCGTGACACTTTTCTCCGTTATGCACTCTAGCCCGTCAGGGCATCGCCGAAGGAGTCAACCATCGGATTGCGCCGACCATTCCCATTTCTTTAGTTCAAGGCCATGTAGCTTGAATTTTCCCTCTGGCCATGTCCCTTAGAACGCTGCTCAAGACAATGGGTTCAGAAATCAAGAAAGTCCCGATTCCTCGCCGGGGTGTGGACTACAGGGGCAAGCTTGTTCTTGCGCCCATGGTCCGCTCTGGCGAACTTCCCTCTCGCCTCCTGGCCTTACACTATGGCGCAGACTTGGTCTGGGGTAAGTCGCAAAAGTATGAGGAGCATTGAAGGAATCGCACTGACAGGTTCAACAGGTCCTGAGACCGTCGACAAGGCCATGATCGGCACGACGCGCACCGTGAACCCCGTTACCAACACGATCGACTTCACCAAGATCCCCTCGTTCGGCCACAAGAATCCCCCAAAGCACATGCCCGAGGCGATGGTTTTCAGCACACACCCGGAGAAGGAGGCTGGGAAGCTCATCTTCCAGATCGGAACGGCAGACCCGGACTTGGCAGTACAGGCGGCTAGGCTCGTGGCCGGTGATGTCGCCGGCATCGACGTGAACGCAGGTTGCCCGAAGCCATTCAGCATTAGCGGTGGAATGGGCGCGGCCCTTTTGAAGACGCCAGACAAGCTGGTCGCAATCCTGGAGGCTCTGGTTGCGAACATTATGCCAGAATTCGAGATTGGCATCAGTGTCAAGATTCGCCTCTTGGACACACCCGAACAGACCGAAGCCCTTGTGCGCAAGCTTTGTGCCACGGGCATCACCGGCCTCACAATTCACTGCCGCACGACACCTATGCGTCCTAGAGAGCGTGCCATCCGCGAGCAGCTTCGTATGGTCGCAGAAGTATGCCACGAGGCGGGCGTCGCTTGCATCATGAACGGCGACGTCGAGAGCCGAGACCAAGCAGTCGGCCTGATCAAGGAGTTTGGAGTCGACGGCGCGATGATCGCTACTGCAGCTGAGGCGAACTCGAGCTGCTTCAGAACAGAAGCAGATGGAGGCCTGGCGTCCTGGGAGGAGGTGGCGGCAACATACGTCAAGTACGCGCTCGAGGTCGACAACAAGTACGGCAACACGAAATACTTGCTCTGTCAGATTGTCCCGGGCAAGAGCGCGACATATCAAAAGATGAATCAGTGCAAGAGCTATACCCAAATCTGCCGCGCACTCGGGCTCGAGGATCTCATCGAGCTTGCTCAGCAGACTGATCTGAACAAAGGCGTCGACCCGGAAAAGGGGCCTGGCAAGGGCGGAAAGAAGCCCAATTCAACTGCCATGGCGGCCGGTGGGAAGATGGGCGAGAGCCGGGCTGCGCAGGCCCCTCGTAACAAGTCTCAAAGGGGTGTCGGCGCCCCCAAGGAAACACAGCCCACGCAGCCGGCTCCTGCTGCCTTGCAAACTTGAGATACATCACATAGCACTTCTCAACCGGTTTCATTTACATAGATAGGAGTTTGGGGCCATTGGTTAAAAAAAAGCATAGCGGCATCCTGAGTCCTTCATTGACAGGCCAGGTTAATGGAATTGAGGGATATAGAACCCAAATACGACTTTTATACACATAATGTCGGATAATGCCCATTCACCATGATTTGTTTCGCTCCGAAGACAAGCATCGAGCTGATGAAATATGTCAATTACAAAAGGAACCGATGGTAGCGACTCTGTTCGCTTCTATGGTACAGTTCCACGCTTCCTTTATTTGCCCTTCTTCACCCAGTCCTCGACGGTTTCCCGGGCATCCGTGACCTTCTCATCAACATATCGTACACCAATCTCACTGTGGAGCCTCGCCATCCTCCAGCTGTTCTCGATGCTCTCGCGAAGCTTGAGGTGACCCTGCGCAATAACGGGGAAACGCTGCTCGTACTTCCAGGTGAGGTTGGAGACGTTGCCCATGGTGATGGGCAGGACGGTCCAGCCGGCAGTGATACCAAAGGCTAGGGGCGCCGTGGCGCGCAGGATGATGCTGCGGTTGCGGGTGACGATGCTGCCGGCCATGGCGGCGACCAGGACGTAGATGGCGCCGGGCATTAGCTTCTCGCCGCTCTCGCGGGGCGGGGCGAGGGATGCGATCGTGCCCGTGAAGGACTGCTCGAGGTTGAAGGCCTTGTCCATCGTCCGGTTGACGGCGTCCTCGGCACCGACGGCGTACTGGTACAGGGCGAGGCGCGCCTTGCCGATCTGGACGGCGAGACGGTCGGTAGGGGTAGGTCCTCGCGACTTGGGTTCTTCGGCCTGGGGAGGCTGCTCGGCCTTGGGAATCGGAGGAGGGAGAGTGCCGCTCGTCGCGGGGAGCTCCAGGTCGTCGTAGATGGGCTTCTTGGACTGCGAAATTGTCAGATACGCTACTATCTAGGTGCTGCGAGTCGACTGCGGACGTACGTGGCTGCTCTCGGGAGCTTCAGCGTAGGCAGTTCGGGGTGCCAGGGCGAATCCTCCCAGCATAACCGTCGCTGCTAACGGCGCGGCGCGCTATGGATCTCATATTAGTCGTTGCTTCGATTACTAGTTGATTGGCAAGATAAAATTACCCGTTGTAGCAACACTCTAGCAGCCATGGTCCGCTCAATTGGTCGATTGAGGGAATTGGGTCTTGGTCTCGCGAGAATTATTTGGATGTCACGGAATGATGCTTGTGCTTGCAAGCACCTAACGCCAGGCCCACTGGACGCTGGTGCGGCTATTTCCGGAGCTCGGGAATTCGATTATGCACTGGCCTGGCAATGACTGGCAGCACTGCACACCCCTGCACAAAAAATTACTACCGCCGTCAGTCCGGATGCTATCCCGGCTACGGCCTATCGATTGGTTTATCTCATTCCCATTAATTCTCCCTATCCAGAAGCATTCCCATGGTCACGGCCCTTGGTCGCATTTACAACCACCCTCCTTTTTTCTTGCTACATGTTTTACTAGAATTTTAGTCTCGACTCGTAGTTATGGTCGCGCCATCGACGGATTCTTCATAATGATCAAATCTTCAACCCGCGGCCTCTGGGTCTGCACCCAATGCGTTCGGCAAGCTTCCCGAGGCCAACAGCGCCGGTGGATAGCCGCAGTGTCCGGCGCTGCTCCCTCGAGCATCACGGCCGACCACTCACTGCCGGGAAGGAATACCGACGATGCGATCCTGCGCGAGCTTTTCGACTCCCCCGACCGAGTGTCCAAGGCCTTCAAGGTGGCCGGCCCCAGTGTTGGCCTCTTCAAGAACAGATATCTCACTAGCCCGAATGGCTTCTACGTATTTGCCCGCAAGAGCTTGGACAAGGCGCAGAAGATTGTCCACCGAGTCCTCCATGCGTCGAGTGTGTCCGAATACCAGGCCGTCGTCAAGGACCTTGACCGTCTTAGCGACCTTCTCTGCCGAGTACTCGATCTATCCGACTTTGTCAGAATGACACACCCAGACCCCAGATTCCAACAAGCAGCAGCCGGAGCTTGGTCGCTGGTCTATCAGTATATGAACCAGCTGAACACCATGACCGGACTGAGTGACCAATTGGTCAAGGCCATGGAGCAGCCCGAAGTGGTCGCGGCATGGTCAGAGGAGGAGAGGACGGTCGCAGAGATTCTCAAGCTGGACTTCACCAAGTCGGCTGTCGACTTGCCGCAGCAGGAGCGGGACCGCTTCGTGGACCTCTCGCAGCAGATAAGTGAGGTCGGATCCATGTTCGTCTCAGACATGCAGCCTGCGAAGCGGGAAGTTGTGCTTCCCTCATCGAGCTTCTACGGCTTATACCCCGGGATTGCTCGAGCGCTCACAATGAGGGGCAAGTTGCGCCTCCCCACCACCGGCCCTGAAGCTCAGGCCGCGCTCCGGAGCGTCAAGGACGAGGGGACGCGGAAGGAGGTGTACACCGCCATGCGTACCGCTTCGAAGCAGACAGTCGGTCTGCTCGAGACGATGCTCAAGCTTCGTTCTGAACTGGCGGACTTGGCGGGGTTCTCGAGCTACGCCCACCTTTCCCTGAAAGACAGAATGATGGCAAAGTCTCCCGGCGCTGTGATGCAGTTTCTTCACGCGCTGCAAAAGCACAATACCCCTATTGTTCGCGAGGAAATGTCGGACCTCCTGAAGTTGAAGCAGACCCGACTAGACAGCACTGCTACTCAAGTCCATCCGTGGGACAAGGATTTCCTAATGGACGGCGTGCGGTCCGAGATGAGTCTGCCAGTCCGTCATCCCGATCACCTCCCCTCCTTTTTCTCCATCGGCACCGTCATGCAGGGCATGTCGAGACTGTTCACTCGTCTCTACGGTATTCAGTTCAGACCAAAGGAGTCGCAGCCCGGCGAGACTTGGCACGAGGATGTGCGACGCCTGGATGTCGTAACGGACACGGGCGATCTCATTGCTGTCCTGTACTGCGACCTATTCTACAGAGAGGACAAGTCGCCCAACCCCGCTCACTTCACAGTGCGCTGTTCCCGAGCCATCGCCCCGTACGAAGTCGAAGAGGCTGCGGAAGACATCCACAACGCCACCTCCGATATGCCCAAGTTTGAGAGGCCTGAGCAAGCCGCAAACGACGGCATGGAGAGCTTGCAGCAGGATGGCGTCCTGATGCAGCTGCCCACCATTGCTTTGGTCTGCGATTTCCCCAAGCACGATGCGAAGAGCTCCGCCCCGGCGCTTCTGTCGTACTACCAGGTCGAGACCTTGTTCCACGAAATGGGCCACGCCATCCACTCCATCCTCGCTCGCACCAAGCTTCAGAACGTGTCCGGCACGAGATGTGCCACCGACTTTGCCGAGCTCCCATCCACGCTGATGGAGCACTTCGCCGCAGACCCATCCGTGCTAGGACTCTTCGCCCGTCACTGGAAGACGGACGAGCCCCTGCCGTACCAGATGGTCGCCGAGCGGATCCGCCTGGCGAAGCGCTTCGAGGGCATCGACACGGAGAACCAGATCCTCCTCTCCCTGCTCGACCAGTCGTACCACAGCCCCGAGGTCGCCGACCCGTCCTTCAACTCCACGCAGGTCTACCACGGCCTGCAGAAGCAGTTCTCCCAGGGCGGCGCCGACCCCGCCGGCACATGCTGGCAGGGCTTCTTCGGTCACCTGCACGGGTACGGCAGCACCTACTACAGCTACGTCTTTGACCGCGTCCTCGCCGAGCGGGTCTGGCGCGTCGTCTTCTCCGCCGGCGCGGACGGCAAGGCGCTCAGCCGGGTGAACGGCGAGCGGCTCAAGGAGAACCTCTTGAAGTGGGGAGGCAGCCGGGACCCGTGGCAGTGTCTGGCGGACACCCTCCAGGACGACCGTCTTGCCAAGGGCGACGACAAGGCCATGGCTTTGGTGGGTAGCTGGGGCATCAAGGATGACCATGCGTGAGGAACGTGTACTAGCCATTGTATTATAGATGTAAGAAGGTCCGCATCGCACGAGGCTAGAATTGTATAAGAGTAGACATGTATCAATGACTAGATCGCACTGATACGCGCTTTTTGTATAAGCGCTATGAATAAATTAGTCCACTTTCCAGAGGCTCGTTCCTTTCAACATGCTCTGCCCACGTGGCACGACTTAGACAGCGCCGACCGCACCTCACCTCACCAAGCCTTCATCCGATGAATTTTCCCACCCCCGAATACACAGAGAATACACACAGGAAGAAGCCTATATACCCCCTCGACGACAGGCTCACGAGCTCCCGAGTTCGAATCCCAGCATGAGCACCAAGAGATGTAGCCCCCAATTCAGCACCGGGGGGGTGAACTCTTTTTGACTGTTGTTATATCCAGTAGATATCGACACGGCAACTCGTCTAATATTTCCATGTCTCCAATGCCATCCTCACGACACGCCCCCCTTCCCCGGCCCCGCCATTCCTTCATGAACCCGCATCATGCACAAAACCTTTCACGTACACCTCTTCTGGCATTGATCAACAATACAAGCCGAACACTACAAACCCCCCAAATGATTAGCGACATGTATCCCCAGCAATGGAGCTTAAGCAAACGCAAACGGCACGAGAAACTCACGTATTTATCACCATTCGCCTTCTGGTGCCAGCAGTAGCCGGGTCCTAGCGCTCTGCAGCAGTCGCACTCAACTTTCTTGGACAGCAGCCCGCCGCCGACATTGTTAGGCGAGGAGGACTGGTCGAGAGAGCGGGCTTCCCGGACTTCGGCGGTGTCTAGGGCTGCCGCGGCGGCGGAGGAGAGGAGGAGAGGGAGGATGGTGAAGATGGAGAGTTGCATGGTGGGCGATGTGGTGCCGTCTGGTGAAGTTGTAAGTGAGTCTGCTGTGTGAAGTTACACGGGTAGAGGCAAGGTGAAAGGATTAGGTGATTCTTTGAATGAGTTGGTGAATGGAGCTGGGGTAAAGTAGTTCGATTTGCTGCGATCATGACTCAATTTATACATCATAGTATCGACCGCTTCGTGGTTGGTTGGTTGGTACAAGTAGGTACGGTAGCTGCGTAAAAAGGAGCGAATTCCCGTAAACGATGCTCCAGCCTTTGAGTTGGCTTTTGAGTTGAGCCTAGTTAGATTACACGCCGTAACCTTCTGACTCTACAAACCATGGCAACGTCTACAATCTCAGTTCTCTGTGTCCGCCAAGATTTCATCTACTTTATAGTTCTCGTAAAAACCCCCGTACAGCTAAACGGCCAATTGGCCATGGTGAGAGTTTGGGGCACCAGTTGATCTTTCCAAGACTGTGAATCGTCTCGATACTCTGGTTGTTGGGTTATTTCTTTAGTATCCCCAAAAAGTCAAATATAGTTTAGTCAAAGCTAGAGACAACTTTGAGACTCAACCGCCTTACGCCAAGCAATAGACAGACCCCTTTACCATCATCCCCATTGAATTTCCCCCTTTCGTACCTTTTTATATGATGATATTGGATCGCTTTAGAGCCTCACGAGCTCTAGTAGTGGTATATAAATAGGCCAAAAATTTCACCGGGAACGGCGTCACCGAGGGGCTGCTGCTCATCTAACACGGGCCATTGGGCAATCTTTAGAAAAAAGCGTCGAAACCTTCCGGCCCATTTCCCCTGCACATCAGCTTTACTTCAATGCCAATGTGTACCTCAATGTCCACTCCTGGTTTAGCTTAGTAGTTCACTATGCTGAGGGCTACTCATAAACCAGAGCCCATGTACCAGAGTAGAAGTATTACGTTACATCTACTGGAGAACCAACATACAATTGCATCCTGACAATTGGCAAGTAAATGGTCAACTTCGAAATCTTTTCATCGTTGCATTCAGGGAAATCATCTCTGTGCCCAAGCGTAGCAGAGAAAACAAACAGACGGCTGGCCGTCCTACTCCTCCGCCACTCACCTCCAGCGGGGCCTGAGAGAGTAATCTTAGATATCTTCGCAGGCCAATGAGGTGAGCTACAAGCTACCCAGTACCTCAAAGTCAAATAGCAGAAGCACATATTGCGCATCTCCCTCAACAAGGTGAGGTCGGAAACCCCAAACTCCGCAGGTCCTAAAGCTCCCGGGCCTCCTCCAACGACCAACGGCCAACACCCCTCCGAAAAGCCGGTCGTGACGAGGGCTCCGGTCATCATCCCACCGGAGCCGACGCACCGCAGTGGAGTCACCCGGACCACGGACGTCGTCGGCATAGTAAACTCACCCAGCCGAACAGCTGCGCTGACACTGTCTGTCCATCCCAGCAAATCACCTCAAAATCCTCCACAACAAACATGTACTCCCACGACCCAAAGAAACGAACCAAACAAGATAGGGCAAAACCACAAGACATCAACGGAAAGCGAGTTCGTACAAGCAGGCCTCTAAGCAGCGGGCGCAACCCCAAGCCGATGCCTACTAGCCAGCAGACGACATGCGGAACAAGGTAGGAAGACGTTCATGAAGCGAACTCCCTCTAGCGCACAATATCCAGGTACATTACCAGCTTGGGCGTATGGCATGGCGTGGGAGGTCTAGATCTCCATCATATCAGACGATAACCTCACGCCAGCCCTATCGGAATCGAATCATGCTCATGTCCCGAAACCCCGCAGCACCCTCATTGATGACCAACGGCATGCTGCTGGGCGGTGACGGCCCCAACCACCTCCTCCAGCCTACGCCTTACAAAGCTACTCCCTCTTGTAGTGCATGCAGGCTCCGGGCAGGGTAGCGGCAGGCCGGCCGGTTCCTTCGGAGGGAACAAGATCCCGGATGCTTACTGCTCAGGGTGGGTACATGGGGAAATGGAAGATGACAGCTCGCATGAACCCTCCCAAACGTGGTGTCATGTTCTCACGATGATTGTCCTAGCTCACTGCATACGTGGGCTCGTGGAGCTTAATCTGGCCGGGGGAGTTGACCCAAAGCAGGGGATCTGCAATGAAATATTCCATCTATTGACATGTGTCTGCCTCATGTGGTAAATCTCATCCCTGAAAAGCTCAGCTATGGTGGAAAAAAAACAACAAAATTGAGATCCAAGTACCCCTGCTTTGCAACAGAGCGCACTTAGCGACTGTCCCCTTTAGCTCCTGAAAATGCCGTGATAACAACCGTACCGCCGCCACACTCCCCAACACCTGCCGGATAAGTTGGAAGAGAGAAAGTGATGATTTCATGTCTGCGTCTTTCCTTGCATGCCTGGTGTCTTTCAGGCTGTGGATTATGTGTTCGCGTTTGTCGTGTGAAGTGGGATTTGTATGGTACAAATATGCCCGAGTAAGAATGTCCCTGAATCGGACTCAAAATTAAAGGAATCTGTGTCTAAACTGCCATGGGGGTTGCGGTAGGGGTAGGCGATGCGCCGCCAGGTAATTGGAGGAAGCCGCCGTAGTATTCGTCCAGCCAGCGAGCAGCCTCCTCGCCGGCGTCGTCCATGCTGGAATCCCATCGGCCAACGGAACCCACGTAGCCGTCAGGTCGTACGTTGACAATGGAAACCTCACCGGGACCGAGGCTTCCAAGCCACTTGTTCGTGCAGAGCTGGCCACGCGTGTCCTGTTCTGGAATGTCGTCCAGGTAGAAGGTCCAGCGGCTGTCCTGCAGCAGGGCAGGCAGGTCAGAAATCTCCACATCATCTTTGGGCATTGTAGCTGTGGCTAGTGTTAGTGATTAAACAGAATTTCTGGCGAATAAGACTCACTAATCAAGGCAAATGTGAAGAGATGGCTGACGGCCGTGTATCTCTCGGGCCGGTAGTAGATGTCTTCAGACGATGGCAGTCTAGGCTGCGCAGCGTAAGAAGCACTAGCCGAGGCTGAGAGCTTGCTGATGAAAGAGTTGGCCGAGGCGATGGACTGGCAGAAAGTCTCCAGGAAAGGGCTCGACGCCTGGATGTCCCACATCAAAAGGTAGATGCGGAACTGTCCGAGCATCGGGATGTCGAGCTGAATATCCACAGGATTCGAGTCGATGTATCTTGTGACCTTGGCCGGAGGAAGCAAGCAGCCAGGTCTGGCATCTCCCATAATGAGGCCTTGAGAGTCGGGCCTGTTCAGGGGGCTCTCAGAGTACTCAGCACCGATGCCAGAAATGAAACGGACATTCGTCTTGAAGTTTTCTGACAGTGCTACCGCGTCACCTCCCGCAATCTGATTGGCGTGCTCGTAGTCGAAGTTGACCAGGTCAACAGCGATCTTTCTCCGCTCTTCTTCGTAACTCTCGAGCAGGCATTGCTTCGCGAGTCCTCGAATGCTCAGGTTGAGCTTCCACGCGATGTTCCACGAGTCGTGCATAGAGGTGTTCATGCCCTGAGCAGACTTGGGGGAGTGCGTGTGACTGGCATCACCAGCGAGGAACGCCCTCAGATGGGGGTCGGTGAACCGACTGGCCACTCTCTGACCAATCTGGTAACGTCCGAACCACTCAATATACTTCCAGTCGACCTCGAAAGGCGCCATGATCTTCTTCGCTCGAGCCATGACGAATTCCTGGCCAAGCTCTCGCTTGTCGGCCTTGGGATTCGCCTTAAGCTCAATGTAGAAACGGGTCATATTTCTCTCTCTCGGGATAATCAAAATAGAGCCGTATTCCTGGGAATACACCAGCGTCTTGGACCAAATGTCTGGGAAATCAGTGATGAGTTCGCCATCGAGAACACCCCAGATTGCTGGTTGCGAAAGGCCAATGGCCCGCGCATCAGGAATGCTCTTTCGTACTTTGGAGTGGGCACCGTCACCTTTTCCTGGTCAGTATATGTCTCTCACAGCGCAGCGGTTTTGTAGTATTTCACTCACATCCAACCAAGTACTGTGTAAGGATTGTCCGCCGGTCTTGGGTTACGTTTGTGCGACAGTTGACCTGTAGGGGCCCCGCCTTGTTCTCCGGAACGCTATAGGACTCGAATGCAGTATTCCTCCGTACCTCGACCCCGCGCTTCTTCAAGTCATCGATAAAGATGCCTTCAACCATACCCTGGTGAACGAGCAAAATGTAGGGATCGAGGACGTCGATGACGGGAGGGTAGTGTACCTCGCGGCCCAGTCTGTGCAGCGGCTCATCGGCAGTGCTTCGCCAGAAGGAAATATCGTAGACACGAACACCGCGGAGGAGCAGAGGGTCGGCGAGGCGCATTTGACGGAATGTCTCGATCGTCTTGGGCTGCAGTCCGTCTGCTCTATTTCGGATATTAGCTTACAGAGGCATGGTAGGTATGTGTGTATGGATTGTCTACCTTCCAACAGGCGTCTGGTCAGCTCTGTCGTCAATAAGCTCGACCTTGATTCCAAAGCGCCCGAGATTGGCAGCCAGCATCAAACCAGCGGGGCCAGCACCAACCACGCACACCTGGGCCTCTATAGGAGGCTCAGGCAAGCTGCGCAGGAGGGTGAGTGTGTCTACAGTGGGATCGATAGCATGGAGACGGCCAGCGGCGGTGCCGGCCAGCCCGTTCGTCGGGGCAGTCTGTCCGTTTTGGTCCTCCATTGAGCCGTCCGAATTAAGTACACCAGGTGCCATAGTCGAGAGGCGTGTTGTGATGTCACAGTCTCACAGGACTACCGAATCGAGGTAATTGGTCGTCGGTACGTGATACTGGGTGTTTTTCAAAGTAAGTGACTAGCTAGCTAGCTATGGCAGAGGACCAATTGCCAACGAGGTCGAACGAAGGCTATTGGAGAGGTAGGTGTAGGTGTTCAGGCTAGCTGGCCGCGCTCGCACGGCTTGCGATCGAAGACTTTCGAACGTGGGGTCAAGGATGTAATGCGCGGGCTTGAGATACACCACACTGGCGCTCAAAGGCACAGACTGAAGTAGGCGTGGAGCTCGAAGCGAAGCGAAGAGGGAAACGGGATATTTTCGTACGGGCTCCAGCCGTCAAGAGGTTTAGTATGGTGTCTCTTCGTCCGAGGGGTCTTTGTCTTGTGTGCGACGTAAGGGAAAATTGTTGGGTCCCAGGAGGTGGTATTCGAGATATAATAATAATATGAGATACGGCAGGGTCGCTGAATATGCAGCTAGACCAGGGCGGATTAGAGACCGAGGACCAAAATAGTGGGTGTGTGGTGAGGTGGGTTTGCAAGTTGCAGCGAACTAGCAGCAAGACCAATGACGGATGTTGCTGGACCAGGGCTGCAGCAGCAGACGGAACAAGCACACACGGGGAACGGGGTGAGAGAGCGCAGAGAGGGCAGACAAGACGGTGAGAAAATCAGAGAAGGGAAAGAAGGGAAGAGAGGAAAAAAACAACCGACGAGTCCCTACAAGACCGAGAAAGTGGGAAGAGGAAAAAAAAAAAAAAAAAAGAGGGGAGGGGCCTGCAGACTGATAGCTGGGTGGTTCGACAGAATTGGAGATTGCTTCGCAGATGCTTCAAACGATTTCAGAAAGTGGCATGATGAGCTTTTGGAGAGCGGCAGGAATCGAGTGAGAATCAGACCACCACGGATTATTTACCCATGCCTGCCATACTTTCAGCCTCTTCCCATTGGCTGACCCCCCTCCGGAAGGGACAGCAGGGTCCAGCTGGTTGGGCGCTAGTCCCGTTTCGGCGTGCTCCAGAACGTGGCAGGTGCGTTCAGTGCTCCTACCTCTACCTAGGAATACCACTACCTACCTAGGCCTGGCGTGCCTGGTTCACACCTTCTAAAATCCACGGGTTGGACCTCTGAAGGCTGACGGATGACTGCGTTCACGCCATGGCGGGGGCAAGCCGCGACCGTTTATGAGGCCACTTTTTGACTTTAGCCTCGTTTCCAGCAACACCTGCCCGGTGTTTTTAGCATCACCACTTTCATACGCAGTAGTTCACTTTCACTTCACCTCTCTTCCCACCTCAAGCTCCCACCCAATCCAACTCAGACCCTCTCCTGCTACACTATGACTACTGCCATGCAAGCTATGGATATGGATACGTCGCTGCTCACAAATCATTCAACCTCATCCGGCCTAAGGAGTACCGTCCCATATCTTTCGATGGAGTCTTCAGTCGGATTCCAGTCTTGACCCCTCCGCTAAGGTCCGCCTATGCACCTTGGCAGCTTGTCCTCTCGGCGCCCAAGTGGGTTCTCTCGATAGAGTTGCAACCTCTGGATACCTTAAGCTACGCAGTACGGAGTACATACATGAACGACACCATCACGAGCAAATTACTCCAGACTTTGCAGACGTCGACATATGTCACTCTCGCTCTCATACCTACCTACCCATCCCAAGGTATTATCACTGCACCACCAGCAGACTGCGGAAACATTCCAACGATGGACCATCCTCGTCCGGGATTAGCTCCACCAGCGGGTACCAAGCACGGAGGTTGGAAACGTGGAAACCCCCGATGCCGGGCATGGCATTGTCTTCTACTCCCGTCGGCCCCTTCCCCATGTTACGCCAATGCTCATCTCTGACATGGCGAGGTGCGAACGGATACATCATACACGCAGTCTAGTGTAGCAGTGCAGCCAGCATCCGACATGTCATTGTCACTGTCCCTGACGGAGCCCTATTCGTTTCTTTTTTCAACTTCTGACACCGGCTTTCTGCAACTTCGAGAGACCCCCTAGTTTTCATGTTCCTTCCAACGAGTTCTAAGCAGAACTCTGGGGCCCAGTTCCCTCCCACACCGCTGCAGCAGTCTTCACAACACCATGGCAGAATCCTACGAGACTTCATGTCTACGATGCCTTTCCTTTGCATAACATGCGCGGCACAGCTACGCTCTCGTATGGCAATGGCATGGTATGGCGTGGTTCAGGCCTATACCATTTGCTCGATCAACTGCCGTATCCAATGTGCCTCATCCTGATGGCTTTTTTTCGCCCAACTATCGACCAACCCGGCCGGCCTTAACACAACACCACGCGGCTGCTCTCCAGACTTTCCGATCTGACCCCACTCGCCAATGCCATGAACAGCAGACCCCGAGGGTACCGCCAACTTGGTCGTCCCCAGGTTTCTTTCTGGAAAGTCTTAGTCGCTAGCACCGTCTTTGGTCCCTCGGGACTAAGACGGCACGTTGAGGGCTTTTTGACTAGACTGGCTAGTTCCATTGCCTCTTTACCCTGCTTGACCCTGGCTCTCCTTCTTCTGATCGGCGAGGCCCCGCGCAAAAGGCCTGCCTGCAGACCGGAGCCGACCGTCGACGGCTTGACCCCTAGTCACGGATTGAGTGCGTCTGCTTCCAAAACATCCGGATCATACAGGAGAAACAGCTCGCCTATCGGTGCAGCTATCCCAACGCTGTGGCTCGATTGATAACAAACGTCCTCTACGTCTCGGTGTGAACATTCTGGTTGGCTGTGAGAACGGCAAGTTTTGCCGTCTCATCATGCGGTTTGCTCGTGGACAATCGGCAAAAGGCACCAGGGAGTCTTCCCCTGCGTCACAGCTCTCACTCTCCCCGCGGCAAGTGACTTCTGGGGAATGCGAGTATCAAACACAAGCATATCGTGCAACTTGGCACATGTGTTCGAACTAGACAAGTGGTCTTTACTCGAGCTACGGCAAATGGAGAAGCCTTCGTTCTACTCTTGAGATGCGTAGTAGAAAGGTGCCCCTTAATGATCATAGCATATGGTGGTGCTGGTCATACGGTTTTGCTTCGGAGTGATAGTATCTTTCTTCACAATGCTCGGACATCACCTTATCTCTTCTTTGTTTGCGATAGCTTCCACATGGTATTCTCTCTGATACTGCTGGGGAATGCCGTCGCACGCATTCTCGCAATATCCTGGCAACATATGCTCAGTAGCCTCAGTCTCGCTTTCGCTTGGCATGTTATCCTTCTTCCTTCCATGTGACTTCCCTGAGGACGACATACGTCCTCGGAGGCAGACATTGGCGATATGACATGACACAGTTTGAGCAGAAGCCCTGGGATAAGATGCTGGATAGTTTCAGAGTTCAAAACTGCCGTTACGGGCGTAATGATGCCAAATAGTGATGATCTTGGTACACTCTAACATCACCCAGCACTTCTTCATCCATCGCTTTGAGCTGCGGTGCGGTCTCACCAATGAATTATAATTATAGAATTACAGACGCAGTGAACAGAGTCACCTAAACATCATACACGCGGACAAGCTTGCGTCTTCAAAAAGTCCACCCGAACCTCCTTCTCCCCTCCCAAAACAAGATCGAAGCTGGTGCTCCAGCCGCTCGTCGCAAGCTGCACCTGCGCCTGGAAGAGCGCATACCCGCTATCCTCCTCGCCCGTGGCCGCGAGCTCGACGCTCTCGACGTCGAGCCTCCGGTGGATCGCCTCGGAACGCCGCACGAGACGCACAACGTCCATCGTAACGGCATCTCCCGCGCGCTCCTTCAGCACCGCGGCCGTGACGGTGAATGTGCGTTCGTTGTTCACGCTCGTCCGGTTGACGCAAGAGGAGGCTGCCTGGTAGAGCAGCGCGTCGTCCAGCGGGAACCCGCTGCCGTTGTTCTTGTACACGGATGTGGCGTTGCTCGAGGGCGTCGTCAGGTGGACAAGAAAGCTACTTATACCACTCGCTGCACTGATGGCCGTCTCGAACTGATACCAGGCGAACGTCTCGCCCCAGAGGCCGTACGTGACGCCGCCTCCGTCGAGCGTCGCGGGCACAATAACGGAACCCTCGCCCCCTCGATCCGCGAAGCTCAGATGGACGGCCAAATCGCCCGTGTCCCGCCCCGTCCCGTCCGTCGTCCTCACCCGCACCCAGCCGCTAAACGCAAGGCTCCCGTTGCCGCTCAGCGCCAGCGTGACGTAGGGCTTGATATCGACGGGCTCCACGGGCTCCGTCAACTGCACCGTCGCGGGCACGGTATCAATCATGCGCGTAAAGACGTCGGCGCACGCCGTCCTGAACCCGTTCTTGGTACACCCCAGGTCCCTGATCGTCTTGTTCCCGTCCGACGAGAAGATGTGCTTGTCCGAGTTGAGCGTCTCGTTGCGCCCGACGACCAACGGGTTCGACGTGTTGCCCCGCACGTACTCGGTCGCGATCCGGTTGTCAAAGTCGTCAAACGTGCTGTCGAACTTGGTCACCGTGTCCGGGCTCGGGTCGAGCCCCGTGATGTGCGGGTTATTCCGGCTGTGCACGCCGCCGAGGGTATGCCCGCACGCCACGAGCGAAATCATCTCGCTCTGGCCGAAGCCGGCTTTCGCAAACGTCGCCATCGTCGTGTTGAGCGGCGTCTGCGGCTCCGGCACGCCCGCGGGGCCGGCGGTGCTGGCGTCGACACGCCCCGCGCGGAAGGGCATCCTCGCGCCGCCGCAGCCCGCGTTGGCGACGACGACGCTCATGGCGAGCAGGTCGGCGGCGGAGGCGCGGATCGAGTAGAGGTTGCTGAAGAAGTTGAAGGTGTTGTTGAAGGCCGCGCCGCCGTTCTCGGCGCGGCCGACCTCGAACCAGATGGAGCCGTCTAGGCCGCCCGTCCCCGCGGCGGCGTCGGTGGTGGCCACGTCGTGGAAGGCGGTGCGGATCCACTCGGCGGCGAACTGGCGGCCGGCGATGTTGCCGCCAAAGGAGCAAGGGGTTACGCCTGGAAGGTTTGGTGTGAGATGGAAGGTTTGGTGAGGGGGGGCTGGCAAAGAGATGCAGGCCTGGGGGCGTAGATCACGAACCTTCGACGAAACCCCTGCTGCGGTATCCCGTCTGTAACGAGAGGATGTCTTCAATCTCGTCGTACTTGGAAGGCCAGATGTATGCGGCTCCCACGCCGTGCGACAGCGTGGCGATGCCGCTGATGACGGCGACGACAAGTCCGTCCCTTCTCATTGTCAGGACAGGTTTTCGAGACGTACCTCAAACGAGCGTCTGATCAGAAGGGAAGACAAGTTAATCAAAACGAGAGAGAACGCTGGCAGACATCCCAGGAAATAAACCCACGTCGCACGCGCGAAGATTAGGTGCCGGGTATTCCTTTATAAATCCCCATCATCGCATTGGACCCGACCCTTTTTGGCACTGCATTTTGACCCAGGGGTTTTTTATTGACTCCATTACGTGGAAGAGGGTCAATTGGTCTTTTTGTTTCTGTTTTTCCCACTCGGGGAACTTTTTTTCTAAAGAGAAAAGAGCGAGAGCTCCAGTATCGCCAAGACGTCAAAGGAAAACGGATCTGGCTTGCATCGGGTCCCTGACCCGATCGAGCATCTCTGCCCGAAAGTCGTGGGTTCTTGTTGGCGGCAACGAAACCTCTGCAGTGCGAAGATGCTGCTGCTTCATAGCAGCATGGTCGAGAAAAAAATCCCCTCGCAGCTGAAAAGGGGTGGATAAAACGTCAAATAACTATAAACTAGTTCTCTAGACTCGGCCGAGTCGGTCCTAGTTCACATCATTCATGGAATAGAGGCAATTCTGCCCCAGACCCAGAGGAAGGGAATTCCCTTGAAGGTCAGGAAACCCGGGCGGGATACGAGTGTGGGAGGCTAACGTACTCCGTAGACCCGCGCGGAATGGCCGACAGGTTGGATTATCAGATGTAAAAAAAAGTTATCTGATCGACCAGGGGGGGCGGTCTGTAATATTAAACGTCCCCGCTGCCGTTGTGGGGGGAGAAGGGGACTCAGCCGCGACTCGAGGGATTGGAGAAACCAACCTAAACAGGTGATCCGGCTAGGCTTTATGGTTTAACATCTGTTCGGACAATATTCATCTCTCCTTCTTCCTTCGTTGATGGGTGAGTGGCTGGAGTCAAAGCTAGGTGTTCACTTCTCCTCAACGGGATGATGATGAGAATTTTGCGTTCGAGGAAGAATGATTCCCGTCTCAAGTCAGATGTCTTATACTGGATTATCTGCTGTCATTCATGATACGACCCTACTTTGCCATATTACCCACGCAAGACTACAACAACTCTCATCATTTTATCCCGCTCGTCACAGGACCCCCTGGTCCAGAGGAGGGGGTGTAACAGCATTTCAATACAAGTACTAAAGCACCCATCTCTACCTCCTCTTATCAATCAACTTCCCCTCAAACCAGGCCGCAAACTTGACAGCATTGGCATCCAAATACCTCTGCGCAAAGTCAGCCACGCACACCACGCCAGGCATGAAGAAGCACGTCGCCAACAGCACCCCAAACGTAAACTGCCCGCTCGTCTCCGCCCCCGTAAGCCCCGTGAAGAAGCGCACGAGGTGCCACCCGTACAGCCACAGCAGCGACCCGTGGACGAGGTACAGCGCGTACGAGATGCGGCCAAAGTACTGTATTACCCGGTTCGTGAAGAGCGGCTGCAGGAAAGGCGACCGGTCGACCGACAAGACGAGCCAGGCGGACGCGAGCGGGATCCAGAGGTACTCACCCTCGCCGTAGCGCTCCGGCGTGATGGCGACGAGCGTCTTGTACCCCGGCGAGAGGCCGGCCGTGCCGGTGCCCTTTGGGTACGAGAGGAGCCAGAGCGCGCCGAGGAAGGAGAGGGTGCCGAGCATCTTTTTGGTTACGCTGTAGGTCGGTGACGATGTGAGGGAGAAGCTCAGCCGGGCGAAGCGACCCCGTGGTCCCGGGGTTGTTGCTGCTGCCACGTACGGCAGGGTGTTGTTGCCGATGGCAGGCTGCCAGTAGAAGTGTAGGTTGGCGCAGAGGAGCCCGGCGAGGAAGAGAAAGTACTGCCAGTAGTTGAAGTAGAGTGTGTAAGCCACGAGGAAGAGGTTCATGCCGAGCCTAACCCGAGTGCGTAACCTCGAAAAGGCGACATGAGCGAGGAAGATGACCAGAGAACAGTCAAACTCAATCGGTATCGTCCAGAGCGTAGGCTCGTACGGGTACCCCTCGCCCCTCCGCAAGTTCCTCCCAAACGGGTCCGACAACCCGATGAGGTTCATCGCCCAGTCCCACAGCTGGTCGTAAGCACGATCGAACCGCGGCGGCCGCAGCGCCGGCACGGCTACGCCCGACGTCGGGATCTCGAACCAGCCAAAATACGAAATCCAGGCAATTACAAACGTCGTCATCGCGGGCGGTAAGAACAGGCGAATGTGCCGCCGAAAGGCCGACGAAGCGGCCGCGGTCGCGAACTCGGCCGTCTTGTGCTGGCCGAGGAGTTTCAGGGGCTTGTAGCTCAGCGCGAACCCGGAGATGACGAAGAAGACGCAGACGGACCAGAAGCCGGAGATGACGAGGCGGATGATGGGCAGCTGGATGAACATGGGGTCGTCGTCGCTCATGAAGCCGCGGTGGATGTTCATGTTGGCCGTGACGAGGGACCAGTGGTGGCAGACGACGAAGAAGGCGGCTACACCGCGGAGACCGTCTGCGGGTGGGGAGGGTTTCTTGTCAGCATTGTTCTTTTGAGACTGGAAGGCGGTTTGAAGCAGAACTTACCGAGCCATGCTGTAGGGTGAAGCGGTTTCTGGACGGCATTCGGATCCGAGGCCTTGAGGAAGCTTGGAATCAAGGCACGGAAGACGTTTCTAGGGTACCGGAGCCACACAGGCAGCTGCCGTGCTCGAGGATGTGTCCGAGGAACAACGACACCGAAGTCGTCGTGGTGATCCACCAGCGGGATCTCCTCCTCTGCCTCATATGCTTCCTTGCTCGGGGTGTCGAGGTCCAATGGGCCAATCCCCTCGCCGTCGTATGAGTTTGGCAAGTGCCTCAAGTGGCACTCAGCCTGTGATGCCATGGCGTCAGTCCCAATATTTCCAGGCATGGCTTAAGTCGTCCTCAGTCCTGCCAAGAATATGAAGCTGCCGCGGGATGGTTCTCCTCTTGGATCGACAGGAGAAGAGAGAGAGAAAGGGGAGCGGAAAACCGATACCAGCATGCCGCACAAGCACGAGCGGGCCGACACCACGTATTAAACCATACCGAAAGGCCGGCGATTCATCGTGCCGCCATCTCTTGCCCGTTCCCAAGCCCTCAACGTTATTTTCCGAATATCGATCTGAAAACAATCAGCCGGGCAAGGCTAGCGGGTTCCGCCAAGATCGTCGCCGTCTAATGCGAATCCGACGTCAATGAGGTCGTTCGCGAGGACGCATTGCGGATAGGATCGAAAGCCACGGCGTGGGAAGTGAGACAAATCGGCCAAGAAACTCGCTCCTCGTGCCGGGAATTATGTGCAGGCGTCTCGGATATTGGCTTGGCTTTGGTGTCACCCGAGAGGCGGCGTAAAGCTCCGTTTGCATCTATTCCGATGTATGTCGTCAACATGGAATGGCGCGGCTGACGACTACCTGTGCATGAAGGGGAAATCACACATCAGCGTACCTCCCTTCGTCCAATGTTGACTTATTTCGTTGTGCACCGCTTGGACCTCGAAGAACATAAGCATTCCACGTCCACTTGCTCCCTGTCGCATTCATTGCCTCATGTTACACAAAACCAACTCTTTGGGATGGTAATTGGTAAAAGGCGTTCATGTCAATGGTCAAAAATTGCAAAAATGATAACTGTGAGATTCGAACTCACGCCTCTTGCGAGACCAGAATACTCATCCGTTGAACGGATGAAGCTTAGTAAGCTTGAGTCTGGCGCCTTAGACCGCTCGGCCAAGTTACCTCGTTGAGTTTCCCTGTCAGTTAGCGTTCTATCAAGGGCGCGCAACTCTCCACCCGCTCTAGCCGATGCTGCCCGCCTCGATGTCTTCGTTAAACACACCCGACTTACAAACGTAACATCCAGAATCTCTTGTTGACATCCATGCTGATTATGTGTTATGTTGTTTGTCAATTCGCCTTGAGTCGCACGCTAGAAGCTGATGGACGAATGACGCATTTGAATTGACGATTTATGAAAAGGGTGTTTGCGATGCACTCTGACCGTCTGTCTGGTCCTCATATCACGTCTGCTTCCTACATGCCAGGAAATGCCTCCGCGGCGAACTGTCTCTCCACTCGGTTGTACCTACGACATTTTCTGACCTTGGTACGCGCTCCGAGAAGGATATTGTCCCTCGACGTGATTCCCCCTCAGTAATGTACTCCATGGGGAATCATATGAACGAACCAAGAGACTGATTTGGTAGACTGCCACCCATTCGTATATCTCATCCTTGCGCAACGTCTCCGATGGCCCATCCCTTCCATAAGCTCAATTTCAATTCTAAGACTTCATTCATCATGTCCCCGGCTGTAGAGTGAATAGTAAACTCATTGAAAAATAGAGATAGGGGCATCGGTACTTCAAGTGCCAACCCCCCCGAAGAGCGCCGAAGGGAATGTCATGAAGAGATAGTCACAGAAGCAGTAATATACTCCAATTTCCTTGCCGATTGAACCTTTTGTCTATTTTCTCCGTAGAAACCCACCCATTGTTTTTACTTCCAAAGCCCAAGAGCGAGAACCTCCTCCCCATC